GCAGCGTCCTCTCCATCAGAGTAGAAGCCTGTGTCCATGTCACTGTCTTCCTCTGAATCCAACCTCTGGAAAACACCAAAGAACAAGCTTCCTTATCCAGTGCTTTGGCTGCAGTGATGCAAACATGTTTGGAAAATAATACAGCCAGAAATAAAAATAAAAACATCATACCTCCATCTTTGACTGTTTGTCAAGAGAACCTGTAGCCTCTTCCTCCTCATCTTCACTGAAACCTTGAAACTCCTCCTCACTGTCCGACTGGCTGAACAGATGAGTTAGGTCCTCAGTAATGAACTTGGATTTGAAACATGGAGTCTGTTGGCAGACATAAAGTAATTTCATTTTAATTAGTAACATGTTGTTGTTGTTTTTTTAAGTGGGTCATTTTCTGTTTATCTTGTGCACATGACATTGTGTTGCTATCTGAAGGATCAGCAGGTGGCAGTGGTTCGAAGATATGACACAATGACGTACACAAGAGGGGAGATTACAGGCGGTTAGTGAAGTGAGTGAGCTGGCGGTAATTTTTTTAAATTAGCTGTGCAATGTAAAATGAAGAAAATACACTCAACACATTTGTTAGTAATGAGTAGTAGTAGTGAGTAATGAACAACAATACATTTGATTCTCTATCTAAACTCTGGCTGGCATTTCTGTATTCAATCAATCAGGTGATGTCCTTGTTCACAAATTAATCTCTGAACCCTTTGTCTCTATGGAGCTTGCAAGAATAGCCAAATTCAGGACAAACTCTTATTAAAGCAAAGCTATTTTAAGATTTTACACTTAACCCAAGTCAGTACTTTCAACTACAGAGCAGTGTGTCATTTCAGTCATGGTGGGGTATGAAATGTAACACCAATTAGAAAGTAAGTTGCAGAATAACCGATACTTAACCTTTGACTTGCTCTACTTATCCTCTTTTTCAAAAGTATTAAAACATCAGTCCTCGTAAAATGTGGTTATGTCATTGTTTAGGTTCAACAGAGAATACCAGTGTTGAGTTATAACATTTTATTCTTGATTGGTCGTTTGTGACAAGATGGAATAGGAATAAAAAAGATAAGGACGTATTATTTTAGATCTAGGGTCTATGTATGAGACTGCCATTGTTAAGAAAGTAAAACACACATCAGGTTTTGTCTGATCCATACACTTTAATATCGTAGACCTATGTCTATGCACATGTTAAATTTACAAATTATCCCTGCACTCATGTTCACTTCATTTGTCTGTCTGCTCGCTGTTATATTGTATAGTTTCTGCTTATAATATGTCTACACTTTACAGTCTATGGTCTACACTCATGCACTTTAACTTATGTCAATACTGTCCATTTACTACTGTCTTTGCACATTTACATTCAATCTTCCATATTTAATCTTCCTATTTAAGACTAGTAATGCTTAGTTAAATCCTGGTTGTATATATTCACATCATTAGTTTTGATATTTGTAGTGCTTATTGACTTTGTATTTAATATTATATTGTGTTTAGATCTGCTAACATGGTGTTTTTTTACTCATATTGTGTGTTTGATAACCTGCTGCTGTAAGGCCACAATTTCCCAGTTTGGGATCAATAAAGTTATTATATTATATTCTAGGTCACACTTGTTGACATCTAAAATACGAAGGGGTGTTGAACCCCAACTTTTCAAAAGGATGACACAGATTTAACAAACACTAATCGTACAGTCCTATAGTGTGATTGTTGTTGATAATGACTTTAACACAATAAACAATCGCTTGAAAACCTCACTGAAAATGATCACGTGGTTTTTCTTCGACACAGACGCCAAAGTAGAAAATAAAGCTGTAATAACACGAACTCTTCACAGGCTTACCTTCGACGTTAGGGTCATTTTCAACTGCTTCAAGGCAAAAAAAATCAGACAAAAGGAAAGTTTTCCCTTTAAATATACAAACAAACTAACGAAGTAGTGGTGGATTTAAAACTGAACCGCGAGATAACTCCGGTCATTGCAAACGAAGGGGTTTACTTTTGTTCGGCTTACAAATACATTTGTTGAAAAGACGGACACGCACATTGTTAAGAGCGCACCGATAACTGTTTACCACAAAATCTTACTCACATTTGTAGTTTTTATTAATAAAAAATCTCTGTATGTATACGTGTGTTTTCGCTTCTGAAAAACACCCCGGACTCACAATGGTACAGGCCGCACTTTCGCGCGAAAACGGCATGTGGGCGTGGTTGCCCAGTCCCTCCTTCTTCTTCTTCTTCTTCTTTTTTTTTTTTTTTTTTTTTTCTTCTTCTTCTTCTCTGGGACTTTGAGTTACTGGCGGATCGCACACAGCTTAAAGGTGCATACCGCCACCTCCTGTCCAAGAGTGAGTATCATCATGTCACTTACCTTCCGTAGGAATTACATTTTGCCTGTCACCCTTGTGTAATATAAGATGGAAAAAAGAGCCCTCCTGACAGCTCTTATCCCTCCTCCTTCTCTCTCTGTGCCCAGTATTCTCTCATATTCCATTCACGCCCTGTAGCTCTGATTTTCTCTTTCAACCTCTCTCTCATTTGCATACTTATTACAATGTGATAATACATTTTCCTTCACTGTTTCTTTTCCCCAATACAAACATTGTGCTATTCAAGGTTCAAGTTTCAAGGTTTCTTATTAGTACCGAAAGGTAAATTTGATGTGCAGACAGGAATTCAGAGTTTACAGAGATAAATAGGCCTACAACACATTATACAAAAACAATTCAAAGGAAATATTAGGTTCTTCAAACCATAGATCCTAAGAAATCTACAGGTGAAGACAAACTGGATCCTCTCTTTCTCCGTCTCTCAGCTTCTCTGATAACTCATATTTTTAACCTTTCCCTTTCATCCGGTGTAATTTCCAAAGTATGGTAAACTGCTTATGTTATCCCTTTACATAAGAGTGGCGATAAGAGTGACTCTAAAAATTATAGGCCAATATCCAAATTACCCTGCTTAGCAAAGATTTTAGAGTCTCTCGTAAATCATCAACTCAAATAATTTTTCTCAACAAACTCTGTTTTGAGCCCACATCAGTCTGGGTTCAGGTCTATGCACAGCACTGTTTCTGCTGTTACACTAGTAATTAATTATATTGTCAATGCCTTGGATGGAAAAAAACATTGTGCTGCCATCTTTGCCGACCTCTCCAAGACTTTTGACACTGTTGACCATTTATTGCTTTTGCAAATTCTTAGTTTTATTGGTTTTAGTGCAAGTGCGTGTGCGTGTGTGTGGTTTCTGAACTACCATACGGACCAACAGCAATCAGTGAACCTGGGAACCATCCTCTGAGTTTCTTCGGAACACTAAGGGGGTTCCACAAGGTTCAATCTTAGGCCCAGTTCTTTTTACAATTTTTATTGATAATATTATTCCATCTTTATCTAGTGGTCATTCACATGCTCACTTATATGTGGATGATACAATATTGTACTATATTGAAAACTCTACTCAGCTTGCCATGGAGAACCTGCAACTTTCCTTTAATGTTCTCCAAGTTGCACCTAATGATATTAAATTGGTTTTAAATGTTCAGAAAACTAAATGTATGTTGTTTTCTAGGGCTAGAGGTGAAATTGATAATAACCTTCAAATTACCACCCTGCTAGGATCCAATATCAAGAGAGTTAAAGAATATAAATATCTCGGTATTTGAATAGACGACAAACTAACATTATAAATATCACATTGAAAATCTTACCATCAAATTAGAACAAAAGATTGGCTACCTATATAGAAATAGATCAAATTTCCCTATGTTCTGTCGGAAAAGGATAAACAAAGCAGTTTTTCTTTCAGTCATGGATTACAGTGATGTAGTCTATAGACATGCATCTACCACTACGCTTAAGCCCTTGGATGCTGTTTATCATTCTGCGCTTTGATGTATAACCGGTGATAGCTATATGACTCACCACTGCATTTTACTTGATAAAGTTGGCTGGCCCTCTCTTACTGAAAGACGCAATAACCACTGGCATCTAGTTATCTGTAAAGCACTTACACGAAAGCTACCATTATATATCACCTCCTTGTTACATCTGAACCCTGGTTCATTTTTAACTTGTTCAAGTGAGAGACTGGTTCTCCAGGTTCCTCACGCCAGGACTGACCTGGGGAAAACTGCTTTTAGTGTGAGTGCTGCAAACTCCTGGAACATTTTACAACATGACCTAAAATTGGACACTTTAGAACTATTCTTCTTAACCACCCAATAACTGACTGTGACTGTTTTATTTGATTTTAATTGTTGAATAATCATTGTAGTTATTCAGGCTTTTAATTATTTTTAGTTTATATTTTTTATTGTTCTTATTGCTTTTATTGATTTCATTTCCTGTTGTAGCCTTAACTCATTTCGTTAATCATTGTAAATGAGGGTCACCCTCAATGAGCTCTCCGAGAACTTAAATAAAGGTTGATGATGATGAGGATGAAGTCTCATTATGATTATTTCCTCCCTTCTATTTTTTTCTTAGTTGCTCTTTGCAACTCATTTTTGTATTTTGTACAAACCCCTTCCTTTCTGAATGTCATCCCACATTTAGATCACTGCTTTTCCTTCCCCTTTCCCAAGAGGGATTGGGACTGCAATTTGTTTTTTCAGTGCCCCTTTTGCAAGTTTTTCAGCACACTCATTTCCTTTCACTCCCTCATGTGCAGGAACCCAACAAAACTGTACAACTATACCACCCCTGTGAAGTCAAAATGTGATGAAGTTCTAGTGAATCTTTTCTGTTTGTGTTTAATGAGTGTATACTTTCTAAGCTAACTAGAGCTAGCTTTCTACCAAAAGGTAAATTCATAACATCCCTGTTCTTGGTGGAATTTTAGCTATTTTGTCTGCTTTCTCATTTCCTATTATTCCTTACATGAACAGGTACCCAACAAAATCTCACATCTATATGAAGTCTACACAATATATATATATATATATATATATATATATATATATATATATATATATATATTACTTTGAACTGATATCAAAAGTATATTGGCTGGTCTAATATCATTTATGGATGGTATATTACACAGAAATTTCCCGGAATATGCAAGATTTCAAAAACGGTTATTTATGAACAGTTATCAGTAACAGGTATTGATGTGCTCTATTTCCTTGTTTTTATTTCACAGTCCTGGTTAATCTTTATTCAAAAACTTCTTATCAATGTTTCTCACAGTGCAACTGATAATAAAAACAACACATGTTGGTATTATATAGACTTTCGATTTAAAAGAATGGTCTTCCTTATTTTGTGTTATGGGAAAGTTTGGCCTAAGGGAGGGGTTATCCAATCTAAATGAGACCTATAAACCCAAGGCTGGTGTTATTATTAAGAGCAAAGTCCATGAATCAATACCAGCCTCTATGGCGATCATAACGGCTCTAAGTTTAAATTCTGGTCAGAATATACCAAACTTGTCTGACCTCCTGTACTAATACCAGAAAAAAAGACATTTACCTGAAGTTAGCTAACATGAGCTACTCCAGATATCTATCATAACATCATTACTTCTTAGAGATGACAATTGCTGTACGTGGAGAATATATTTTTTGTTTGCTTTGATTTTTGTTGATGTTGATGTAAACAAACAAAAAAATCTAGTCTTATGAAGAGCGAAACTTTGTCAAATCCCTGATTATGAACTACGACCATACAGAGAGTGACCTGGATTGGACTCAGTGACATCCACAAAGAAGGCAAATGGATGTGGTCTGAGGGCTGCCAGCCAATTCTTCTTTCAGGCAGCAGGAGAGCCAAACTCACCTGTTACTCCGTTTTTAACGTGTCAGCTCAAACGCACGTGTACACACGTGTTAATAGTAAGGTGTACACTTTCATTTGTGAGTAGAGAAGTCACTTTAATGATGAATGTGGGACATTCACACAGCGAGTTCTAGTGGCACTTCTACATGTGAATATTTCCAAAGCATTTTAAATGTCTAAGAGTGTATTATTCATAATAAAAAGGATTATAATATTCCAGTCAGTGTACAAAATAAACTTTTACTATGAATTCAAATGAAGCCATACACGGTACATATAAAGACTATGTATGTTCATTTTAAAAATGTATGTCTGCTACAGCCGTCAATCATTCATTCTGTATAATGTGTGTCTGTTTGTGTTGAATTTTGAATCAGAAATGTGGTGATTGGACAGTTCTGTGTTTTTTTTCCTTGTTTGGTGCTTGTGTTTTTGTTCTTTCAGAGGCTGGGTGTGGCTTATCGGCTGCTGGAGCTCTCTGCAATCACTCACCTGTTCATCATCTGTAATCACCGGCTGCAGCATTTATACCCTGGTTCAACTCTCCCAAACTGCCAGATTATTTCCGCCTACTCAGAGGTAGATTGGCTTCTCAGCATCAGTGAACTTGTTGTGATTTGGATACCCGTTACTAATTATTCCCTTGTCTTCTTTTTTTCCCCAGTGCCTTCAACTACCGAGCAGCAGCGCCTCACCACCCAGCCTCTCATTCAAGCCTCATGTCAATAAATACCCCTTTACCCACCACCCTGTTTTCCAGTTTTGCTTTTGGGTCCACTAACAAACATTTAAGGCCATAACACAGAAATAAACTGCTTTTGGACAGTCATGCCATTCGCAAGGATTATAAAAATACCTACAGACTGAAGTTACTGTACAGTAATGTGTCCTGCTGAAGTGATATATAAAGTCTTCATGATGAAGATATGTGCATGTGTGTACATAGTTATTTGATTGACCTTTGTTTGTAAATATCAAAGGAAAGTATATCTTTTTTTCTTTTCTTTTTTTATACAACAATCCATAGTAACTGATAAAAATGTGAGGAGCTGGATCATACATGCATTGCTGAAGAGTACAGGTTTATGAATCACCAAACAGGCTACTCTTATGTTCTGTTTACCCGTATTTGACTCACACATGCAAAAACAGACCCCCATTTAATGTGTTCATCAAAGTCTGTTCAAATATATACATTATTTGTGTATTTAAGGGGTTAAGGTATCTTAAATGGTCAGGGTTTAGAAGTTGTGTCATATTTGAGAAGGGGGAAATGTTTGGGTTTGAAGCTGGAGGTTAAAATACTCGTTCTGTTTGAATGCTCCTTTGTAGACTGCTGTGATGGACAGGAAGCCAAAAAGAAGTTGTAATTTGTGTTCCATTTTCATGTCTGTATCATGTTACATTTTTTTTTTAACATAGACTGTAAATATTACAATTTAGCCTGTAGTTTAAGAATTTACATTTTATTGAATATGAAGTAGACTATTGATACAGTATAACCCATACAGCTAATGCTGTATAAATAGATTGAGTCTATTTTTTAACTAAACAAGTAACTAAATATTCTCAATTTATGGTTGAGTCTAAATGTTTCTGGAACAGAAAAATGCCTCTCCCAATTTCCCAGAGCTCCTGGTGACCTGCCAAAAATGAATGTTCAGCAAAAACTTACAGGTGACCTGTCTAGGCTGTGCCCCACCTCTCGCCCTATGACAAGCTGTAATCGGCTCCAACTCCTACTCTACCCTTGACAGGAAAAGGGATTAGATAATGGATTGATGGATGGATGTTTGAAAAAAGGACACGTTGTATCCATTGCTCCTCAATGGAACTGATGTCAAAAGCAGATTTGTCCGTCTCATATAGTTTATGGATAGTGTTTTCATTTTGTGTTCTTTTATGATTATGATGATTCAAATGCATAGTTATGATGAAGTAATGAAATACAAATCCAATAACAAATTAGAATAAACCCTGAAATCCCTCTGAATGTGCCAGAACGCAATAACTGTTATCTATCAACAGATATGAATGACACGTGTTGTTATCAATAATCAACACGTCCTAGGTCACATGATCTCTCTGGATGCTGAGGTGACCTTTGCTTTGTTAGAATGGCCTTCCTTATTTAGTGTTGCAGAAAGTTTTGTCTCAGGGAGGGTTTTATTGAATTTATCAAGCTGATAACCCGATCTAAACAAGACTTATGTGGAAAGACTCAGTTAATTATCAGTAACTAACTACATTAAGAAATACCAGCCTGAAGCAAGTTAGTTTCTTGATAGAATCTGAAATTAAATTGAATGAGTCCATCTTCAAGTTTATTGGCCAGAATATAGAGAACTTGTCTGATCTCCACTTTCTTCATCTACAAGGATACAACTATTAACCTGGATGTAGCTGACATAAGCAAAAATAAACCATTCAAGAAATTGAAGAAAACATTTATTTGAGTGGACAAACACTGCATGGAGAATATGATTTTTTGTTTGTCAATGATTATGTTGCAATTTAAAACTGTTCCTGAAAGCTTAAAGCACGTCTTAAAGCTGCTTGTAAAGCTTTTATTATGCATGTCAATGGTTTACATTTGTACTCCATTTCATGGAAATGTTTAATTTTAGACTTTAGAATAACACTCAACAGCTGTAATCAACATAGTAGTGAATGACATGTGAAGTGAGGAACCCTCATAATGTTTGAAATAAAGATGTTTGAAAGGGTCTCCTTTTATGTTTCATATATTTCTTTTAAGAGATCAATTCAAGATATTCCAAAAATAAAACATGTTATTGAGATCCAAAAAGACATATTTTTGTGAATGAAACACTTTGTTCGTATCAGATCTAATTTATGTTACCTTAAATTCATAAATCATAGGTCTTTAGTCAGTTATCTGGGTAAATCTTTAAGTGAAAGTGTTTGCCAGATAGTTATGACCAATGAAATCTCACCAACATTGTAAACACCCTCTCTGATGCATATAAAAGAAAGTGATCTTTCGATCATTTCTGAAAGGTTCTTGCTATCATCCTACAGTGCAGATCAACTTCTCCAAAGACAGACAGAGACTGTGACACCACTATGCAGCTGTTCCTCTTCCTGTTTGCTCTGGCTCTGGGTGCTGTGTCTCCTTCAGATCAAGATCAGACAAGGCTACAGCGTGCAGGCTGTCCTATGTTCTGGTACAATTTCAACGGTCGCTGCTACAAGTACATCAGCACACCTACGACGTGGGCTGATGCAGAGCTCTACTGTTTGTCACTGAGAGCAAACCTGGTGTCTATACACAGTCTAGAAGAGAAAAACTTTGTCAAACTCCTGATTAAAAACTACGACCATTCAGAGAGGTGGACCTGGATTGGACTCAGTGACATTCACAAAGAAGGCAATTGGATGTGGTCTGACGGCTGCCAGGCCAAATATTTCTTTTGGGCGTCAGGCCAGCCTGACAACGCGAACGGTGAACATTGTGTCCACTACAATTTGGGCATAGATCTAAAATGGAATGATTTACCTTGTTCTCATTTGGCTCCCTCTGTTTGTGCATCTCGCATAAACTGTCCATAGCAACTGAGATGTAAAAATGGTCTGATTCAACCTGGTTATTGCTCACCTGTTACTCTGTTTTTTAATATGTAAGATCAAACACACGTATACACTTTCATTTGTGTACACAATACTTGTTTTATTTTTTGCATTTTGTACAATAAATGTACAAACACCCTTTAAATCATATTTGCTCTAAATATGAAGACTATGTATATTAATTTAATAATGTGTGTCTGTTTGTGTTGAATTTTGAATCACAAATAAACGGTTTCTTGCTTATGGACTGTCATGCCATTTGCAAGGATTATAAAATACCTACAGACTAAAGTTGTTGTATAGTAATGTGTCCTGCTGTCATCAGCAACTATCACAGCTGCGTTAGTCAAGTGTTTTCAAAGTGCATATCTCCAAAGACATCACACCAAAGATTATTCCTGTATGTGTAATATTTGTGCACCATACAGTCTCTCCTATAAAGCAACTAATTGCTTTGTGTAAATTCATTTTTAATTTAGTGTCCCTGCCATGTGTTGTCTTTGTGTGTATTTGTGTCTCTGTGGAGGGATGTAATGGTCTGGGCATTTGGAACAGGCTGCATCAATAGCCTATGTTTTCCTGTTGCTGCTTATAGTCATTTAGCTGTCCTCCTAACAAGTCTTTTACCCAGCAGGAGGATGAAGAGGGAAGTGACACAAATAGAACCCACAGACTCAGTGTGAAGCAGGTGCCGTGTAATTGTCATTTGGAAAGGGTGCTGTTGGGAGATTGTGCTGAGATGGATACAATAGACATTAAAGCTATGGTTAGCACTGATTTAAGATGCAGTTTTTGTTATTTTCATTATTTTTATATACATTCCATCATTTGAGAGTTTGATGGTATAAAATCAAGGAGCAGGCTTTTAATAATGCTGACAGAACCCAAGCATCACCAGTCATTTGTATGTTTTCATATTTGTGTCACTCTTACTTAACCAACATAAAATAATTTGCATAGAAACAGCTCTTGAACTCACTTAAAATGGGGTATGGTTGTCTAATTAAAAAATTAAAATTAAAATTAAAAAACAGTCAAGAATGTAGCAAGAACGGGGATGACACTTGTTGCGACAACTTCTCCTGGGGGATTTAGCTCCAAGGAAATTCTACAGCTACTTTTTGAAACACTAAAGTCACACAGGTTCAAAAACACAGGGCAAGAAACGTTTCAAATGTAAAAGTAAGTCACATTTTATAAACACAATGAATAGTAACTCCAAAATATTCAAATGTATTTATGAGGTTAGTAGTAATGGACAATCAGTTGTCATCAGACTACAGCTCGGTTGTATTTGTATGAGCACTGATTAACTCTGAACTCTTCATCAGCCAAGGACAACCGCACAATGTCTAAGCAGAAGTCTGACAAAAACAATTAAATCACTCAGGAAGGTCACAGAAAATCCCAATTTTATTCATTTAAGTCAAACTTGGGGGTACCAAAACAAAAACATTATAGTCTAAGTCAAATCAGATTTTTTTTCTGCTGTCTATGCAATACCATGGTACCTGTTACAATGTGCCTTGCAGCATGTTGGTGTCATAGTCTCTGTCTTTGAAGAACTTGATCTGCACTGTGGGATGATATTGAAAAGCTTACAGAAACAGTTGAAAATCATTTTCTTTATATCACTGAGAGCAGTGGTTCTAAACTAGTCTAGTCTCAGGACCCACCATCAACTCCTTCATGAAAAATTGCAACCCAAATTTCTGATATCAATCAACCAATCAGATTTATTTAATGAAAACAAATGTGCAGTTTGGATCTCTGAAGTTACCAAACATGTGACAGAACAAAGAAATGGAACAAATGTCTTGGCTGTGCCCCACCTCTCGCCCCATGACAAGCTGCGATCGGCTCCAACTCCCACCCTTGACAGGAAAAGGGATTAGATAATGGATTGATGGATGGATGTTTGAAAAAAGGACACGTTGTATCTGTTGCTCCTCTGTAGAACTGATGTCAAAAGCAGATTGGAGTGATTCTCTCTGCTCCTCTCTTAGCATCATGTGTACACTGTTCGCAACATTGTTGTCGCTTTAATGCACACATTGAAAGAGAGCTCTAGTGTGTGTGAATGTTTAACTGTGTGCTCTCATGTCACTCATGTTGAGACTCACCTGAGGCTGTAGAGGACTTTCCCATCGGGGTAAACCCGCAGCATGACGTTGTCCGTGGTGGTGTCATGAGTGAAGGACTTCTTGGAGTGGACAAAAAACATGTCGGGGACCCAGATTTTCTTCACCAGGCGGCCGTCGAAGGCCATGCTCTGGTTCTTGTTGCTCCTGAAGGACAGGCGTTCGTCTTTCCAGTAACGCCTCAGGTACAGGGTCATCGTGAAGTCCTTCAACAAGGAAGTACACGTCTGTTACAACCAACCACGGACAACATGTCTAATACACAAAACACTTGAGTCAGGGCTTACCATATCGACTTCTGAAATAGCATCCAAACTTTCAACCTGAACATCCACTCCGACTGGGACAGCAGGTCCTGGGAAAAAATATGCATGAACCTTTTAATTTACACGTGTTGACGACAGTGTAAACTCACTGAAGAGCAAAGGATTGTCAGAGTGCAGACGTAGAAACTGACTGGATTATCTGCGTTTGTTTAGAGGTTGTGACTGCGTTTAATGCATATCATTTTTTATTCAATCTATTAAATCTGCTTTACTTCATCCAAATGCCTGTTAAAACAGAGATGTGTTTTCTCTAAAGAGAAACGTGAAGAGAGACAGTACTATAACCCAAACTGACAATAAGGGCTGTTTGTTAGTTTTCTCCAGTTTCTTTAAACACAGCATCATCGTCTTGTTTTATACGATCCAACAGTAACCATATTTGGAAGAGAGGTATCTTCCTTTCTGGTCTCTTTGACTCTAAATGGGACCATCCTTGACTAAAGGAACATCATGCTGTGTTGAAGAAGACTTGAAAATGTCTTGTTCAGAAAATGTTTACTGATGGAATAAATCTACTGAGAAGTAGGAACATTTTCTTAAATCAGACATCTTTTTACAATCTGTTAGGTTTCCCCTGCTGGCTAATAGAAGGAATGCAGGCTCAGGACTTTTCTGCAACAGTTTTACTCTCTCAAAGAGTACTTTCACATCTGGCACAAAACTCCTGAAGTTTTTTGGGTGTGCTGCGCGTGAGTGAGTAACGGCTCAATTTTTCATTCTGACTATCCGGACTTTCTTCTGCCAGCCACCTACTGATGTGAGAAATACAGCAGGATATAATCAGGAGAATTCCCCTCAAGCGAGTGTGAAGGGGGGGGGTGACTTTTATTCCCTGCGGGTGCACGACCATAGACTGTCTGCCCGCGACTTATTGAACTACCCATGGTATTGATATGAAGGAAAATATTCTCATTGTAGTGTCATACAGAGACCTCTGTTGCTTCGTTCCCCACCTCCACCTCGTTCTCTTTTACATCATGTCTTGCCTGAGAAGAACCCAGCCATCCATATATACCTAATAATTCACTTTTTTTAGTCTACATCTGTAAATTTTGTAATTACTGTACATAGCACAGACTCTTGCACTTTCTGCTTATTTGCACTTCTGGTGAGATGCCAAACCTCATTTCGTTACTCTATACTTGTATATGTGTAATGACAATAAAGTTGAATCTCATCTCTCATCTCATCAATACTGAACTACATGACATGAAGATTAAATACACTGCACAGTATGATTTGAATTCACTTTTGTTTAAACACTAAATGTTAAAATGAAACAGTTATTAAAACTTAAGGGGAAGGATAACATAGGTGTAAACTTAATGAACTGTTTGCTTTGTGTTGAACTGAAAGTGTTCTTTTGATTCACTTTATTATAGTATCGCTTTTTTAATGTATTTATTTCCTTTATCAATAAAAACTCGACACACAAGGAGCAAAACGTCAGCCCAGATTTTCACAACTTTCTGCAGGAATGATACGCCACTCAAGACGATACCTCCCCGCTGATTGGCTGGGATTTCTGTGATCTGATTGGTCGCAGTCGGTCTTTGAGCGTGCATCCTGACATCAGGTGATTGCTGGTTGTGTGTGCTGTGTCACAAAGTGTTTAGAAATGAACACACACAGGTCGTCAGTTATGAAGTTATAGTGTCTCAACGAAGAGACATGTGTTTAGTGTGAGGCTGAAAACGTGCATATCGTTTTAAAAATCTGGACTGATGTTTTCCTTGTTGTGGTTTGCATTTCAATAACTGTTTATCATATATCTCTTTCTTGAAATTATGTCCAAAGTTTTGCTGAATGTGGTGATGGTGGTTCCCTCACTTTATTTACCCGAACAACAATCTCTTCCAAACCCTGACAAAAAAAAAAAAAAAGTCAACTAGCTCCAGAAAAAATGATTTCACTTTATTTCTGGTTGATATTTGATGTGTTTCAACACGTCTTTTCCCCTTTAACTCTCTGCTGGGCAGCTATCGTTCACAGGGCTTATGCAGATATAAAGACTGACAGCTGTTAGCAGAGTAAAGACTTTAAAAACTCATAAAGAAAATGTATGAGAGTGAGAATTTAAAAATCTCACAGATTCAGGCTCTGAGCGCTGCTTACATGGCAGATTTAGATGGAAGTTATTGAAACCCAAAGCTACAGACTGCTGCAGCTCGGTCATAATTAATCACAGCAGCGTGGATCAGACTTAATCCCACCCTGTTATGTCATCTCTACGAGCCAGAGCTGGACTCGCCCTCCGCCCACGTCCAGAGGAGTGTATAGATCGGATGGAGAGGGTGGACAGGGTGAAGTCTAAACCGACAGATGTGGCTAATGACTCGTCTGGAAGTTGACTTTAAGCTGAAATATCTTGCAGCAGAGGTCTGCAACACTCTGTTCAGATTAATAAAGCTCCTCACCTCCGAACCCCGGCCTCATGGTGAAGTCGTGGTCGTCTATCCTCAGCAGCTGCTCCGACTTTGTTCCCCAGGCTTTAGTGATGTCTTGACTCCTTTTCAGCATTGAGCTGAAGAAAACAACATCCATCGAATGATCAATTCTACTATGTAATGTTGACACATTCCCTTTATGACATTGAATTCCCAATGTGCAGCAAGTTTTTTTTTGTAAAACACAAGCCAATACCTAAAAATAACAGGTTGCAATTTTCTAAATCTAATAGTACAGTGGTTCTCAAACTATGGTACCACCGTCTCCCTGTGGTGGTACACAAAGGAATCTCTACAAAAAAAAAAAAAACCCCGTTCAGCATAAAACTACAATTTTTTTCTCTTATCTTATCTGTCTTGTATCTATTGTGTAGTATTTATATCAAATGTGTTTTCCCCTTTAAATTAATCTAGTTTTTGCTACAAACAACTTTAATCTTCTCAATTTATGCTCGCACACGCACAGACATAAACACCAGGAGTACGCCTCACGTTTTGAAAAGTTCCACTCTATATTCCCTTATTTATAGTAGTTCAGTACTGAATCAACAGCAAGCAGCTGTAGACATTTGAACCCTCCAAAATTGGATATAGTGCACTTCCAATTACCTAGGAACTCAGATCTCGGAGCTGGGAATGACATCACACAGGAGTTAACTGCGTTCCAGTAGTTGGACAAGCAACTTCCAGGAGTACTTTTGTTATACCAGAAGATAACAACACAGTACGTGATAGTGTGGGCGCAAAAATAAAATGGGGTCAGCCCTATGTTCTAAGATTTTTCTCAAAATTAAACCCTATGTTCGCCCATTTCTAGGACATTTTCAAAATTAGGTCTTGTGTTCCTACATTTCCCTTCAATTTAAGCCCTATCCTCCCACAAGATTTTTTGGAAGCACTTTATAGTAAATGCGAACTGCACTGCAAACTATGGTTTACGTCCAGTTGCTGCGCTTCATTCGACTGGTCTGACTGGAAGCGAGTCAATGCGAGGCCTCTGTGCTATTTAGTTTATCAAGATTAGTGTAAGATTTGAAGTGCGGTATTTGAGTGCTAATACCTCTCATGTCTGTAGAATAAGCAGAAGAAGTTGATGCTACTGCTGCTGAACAGTTTGTGTTTGATGTGTCATTTTTCTATTTGAGTGACGTGTCTTATAAATGATTTCCTGAGTTTTGTTTGGAATTGTTAAAAGTTGTGTGCATGTTTTTTTTTTTCTCTTTCACAGTAGTGGTCATTACTAGTGAAGGGTGTTGCCAAATCTGCTGCATTTATCTCTTTACCATGAAACCTTGAAGAACCATTAAGCCAACCTGTATATAAATATTAAGTTTACTTTTTGAAGGTGGAGTTTTTGCATTGAATTATTTTGTTTTGCATGTAATTAAGTTGCTCTTTTTCTGCATGTTTTCCTCTGTGTGCTTGCTTGTCTTTGTATTTTGCTTTTTAAAGGGCAAAGGGGGGTTGTCATGTGACCTAAAGCTCAGCTCTGAAGTGGGAATCACCATTAAATGTGACTGTACTGTTTTCAGTTAGAGCCTCACGTAAAGGCCAGGATGAACAACTCAGTCTGCCTCGTTTACTGGCTTCATTTGAAAGAAACCGTCTTCTTTGTCCCCTAAATGTACTGCAACAGTCTGGACTGATGCATGAAACCATGCTATGTATGTGATGTCTGTTTTTATAATAAATATTTTAATCATCACTCTTTTGTGTTGTCACTCATTCTTGAAAGACATCAAAAATAGTGGGGTTAATACAGACAATTATTTTCCGAGTAATTCCATGCCATAGCTGGAAATAAAAGGCGAATACTCCAGAAACTAGGGAATTTCTACTCTCCTGTTACATGCTTTTTATATATTGGTACAATAAAGCATCAAACACAGTTTTAAAGTCTCTTGTTGCTCTCCAAATTAAATACATAGTCCTGTTTTCAAAACCCCATATTTTTTTCTTTAAAAAAAATCATTAATTCTGCTTACAATATTAGTGTCTTGATGATAATCAGTTTCTTTTTACGAGGTTAAGTTATGGTCGTAACCTTCGATACACCAGAAGGGCCTTACTTTATTTCAAAATAAAAGTGAAGATCTCTCAGTTTAAGACAATGTATAATAATGTGTCTAATTTTATTTTTGAATATATAGATTTACATATATACGGTACATACACTGTATATATATTATAGCACTTAATTAAAACCCAAGTTATAAGTAGGCTACATAAAAACTATAAAATCGTCATGAATCATAAAAAGTTATCACAGTCAAGTCAAAGTGAAAAATTAATTAATACAGTTTAAGATATAAAGATCTATTTTTACTATAGATGTACATTTTTTATTTAATAAATGGTTCTGTTCTTTTTAGCTGTTAAATATTTTTTAATATCTAGTAGACCAACAGTGTATTTTTGTTTTAAATATTTAAAATCGACTCGACGTTTTATAACTAGATACAGTCAAAATATTTTATTAAGATTAGCTGATCGATGAGTTTCATTTTCTTTTAACACGCTTGCATGCGGCTGTGAAATGAATTAAGGGTGCATCCGAATTGTCCCTCCTATCTCCTTTCATTAGCAACTTTACCTTAACCCCGGAAGCAGTTAAGTGGCGGCCACGATAAGAGCCGTTCGAATTCTCTAAAAGTTAAGGAAAGGTGGGTCAATGCTTCCTTTATAACCTCCTTTAGCATAGGATACACTGGACCATCCTTTACGAAAGGAGATGAGATTTGACGCCCCACAATTCCTTGCGGCCGCAACATTTAAAGCGACTCGCGCATCCGACCGTTCACGAACATTAACGATGATCGTAAAGTGACACAGATCATTTAAGAGATAAAAGATAAGAGACATTTTTATCAGATGATGTTTTATTCAATTCAGAATGTTTTGTGCATTTCTTCAGTTGTACATTCTTGTCTTGCATACATGTAACAATTAATTTCATATTTATTTTGATGTTGATTTCTGATTGGACAGGAAGGTGATGGTTTCACTTTTGTTACTCATAGCCTGGTGGTCTATATTTCTTTTATTTCAATCCCAACCTTGTGGTGATTAGGATTATTTCACCGGTAAGAAGGCACAGAAAGAGTTTTTTTAGATGCGTTTTTTGTAGTCCATCGGAACATTGTAGTTTCAACATGGCAGATACACGTCATTAACCTCCGCCGGCCCGTCGCATTTAATGACATCGCCTAGTGGAAAATGTGGTCGGATTGTCAGAACAACAAGATCGCCTTTCCCTAAATCCTTTATGAATTCTCCTAACATCTCTCCTTGACCTCATGACGTTTTCGCGGGGTTAAGGTAAAGTGGATAGTGAAAGGAGATAGGAGGGACAATTCAGATGCACTGCTGTTGGTACAGGCTAACAGACATTTTAATTCATTTATAGAAGCAGTCAGTCTACCAAAAGAAAACAAAATGAGGGAAATTGTGCCCATACAGGTCGGTCAATGCGGGAATTAGATTGGTACCAAGGTCAGTACAGCTTTTTATGTTTTTTGTGCAGTTGAAATCGATGTATTTTAGAAAAGATAAGTCCTCTGTGCTTTTGTGAACATGTAATCCAAACCTAAACTCTCAAGAGCTGCCCTTATGGGTTGTGATGCGTCGAATTGTAACGAATATAAATCGATTTTACCTAATTTACAAATCCGATAAATTGTGTTAATTTGTAGCCAAACCAGTAGAAATCAGTTAACCGCTGCGGATGGGATTGACCATTGAGTGGTCAAAATCATTATTTAAATCTTACTCGGTGATGTAATCGTGTTTTCGCTCGTCTTGGCCTGTAATGTAAATTGAACAAAGTTCTGCGTGTTTAAAATGTCCGCAGTCGTGACCATGTTGGCGGTTAACGACAAAACCGTGTTGGCGGGACACAACAGAATTATTAATGGTGGTTTGGGAACCAGAGTAGTTAAAATGTTTAAGCTTTTTCAGTAACTTATAAAGTTTTGTTTTTTGTTTTTTGTTTTAGATTTGGCATCACATGTTCCAGCAGCTGGGTGAGAATCGTTCATTTGTTCATCTGTTTGTTTGTTCGCCGCTGCATCTGTTATGGATTTCTGCAGTTCTTTTTGTAGGCTATATAGTTTGTCATGCCCATAGATAGCTGTGTTTTTGTTGTTGTTGTTTTTGGCGTGCGTGTGTGTTGTAACAGTCAGAATATATTAGTAGTACCAAATAGCGCCACAAGGTGGTGTCTCTGTTTTGTTTTAAGTGTGTGGGTGAGAAAGTCTATCTAGTCAGTCCTCTTGAATGTCGATCACGAGAGGACTCTCCAAAAACTCTAGTGACGAGTTGGTGCAGGATAATAGCCTATTTTTACCTGTCATGTGTGATCAGGATATATAGTGCCGTGCTGACCTGGCTTTGTATGGTCCGTTTAGTAAAACAGAATAAAAGTGCCGTGTGGAAAATCCCCAACTTTGTCGTCTGTCTAACTGATGCTAACCAGCTATCCCGGGACTTATTGCCAACTAGCTACACCTCCTGTACCAGCAGCGTTACAAGTGGCGCCCGAACATCGTTCTCTGGATCTCAACTCAACACCTTTACCAAAAGTACAGACCGGACCGGACATCATTCTACATTTTTCACCTTGAAAGTCGGTGTGAGTGGATTTTTGACTGTTTTTCCCGGACGTGTACAGTGCTATGTTTCAAGCTAACTTCTCCTGGAGCTACACTAACCATGACCGTGCACGTTTGGATTGTTGAAGCACGCCACGTTTCTACGGCTTCGGATATATGTTTTTGCTTCATCATAAAAGCATCGAAGGATTTTACAAGTCTGCTCGACAAAGTCCATGTTCAAGCAGCATTAAAAGGCCATCCATAACTTGTCCATAAGTGGGATTGGATGCCTCCAAGCTTCATTATGCCTCTGATTATGGAACTTTTTCACTCTTAAGTGAATTGACCGAATTTACTGGACTGAGCAAGTAGAGGACTCTGACTGGATAACTGAAAATTCATGTTTTTTTTGTACATCTATATGTTATAGCTAACATTACTCTCGCTGACTTATGAGTAGGACAGTAATCTTACTTTATTTTCACCAGTGAATATTGAGCTTTACAGTAAAACGACCTTTCATCGCTATAATTTATTTTGAGGGGTATTCTATGTTTTGCTGCATTTTCAAAACTATAGATGCAGTTTAAATGTAGTTTGTGAGAGCTGATATGTTTCCACTGTAGTCAGTGAGACATTAATTTGCTTCTGCTCTTAAACCACAGCACACATTTTGACGAGTAATATTGATTTGAAAACTGAGGCATGATGGCATCCCACCCAGACATACAAGCTGAAGATTCTGACCATGACTCTTACATAGGCATTGACTCTTTTGCAAGATACACTCTTCCTTGTCGCACAACTTCAGGACTGGAAGAACAGGTAGAGGACCTACAAGCAGAGGTTGAGAGACTCAGGGAATGTCTGCAAGACTCCTTAAAGTTACAACGCAATGTGCTTGAACACTGGGAGCAGTCTAGGAAAAAAGACTATGATATTCCTGCGGCCCAATATTCAAGCCCCCTATCCAAGGCCACCTCAACCCCATACACGCCTGCTGTTACCATCCCAGAGCCAACACTCCTGGATTCAAAACCCTATTCTGGAGCTCAAGCTGGTCATTCAGACTTTTCCCTTCCGACACATTCACTCGAACTCAGCCACACATCCAGGATGATTGCTGCTGCATTGCATCATGCTAAGCTAGAGCCCCCTATGTTTGCTGGTGATAATAAAGTGCACCCTGAAGACTGGTTACATCAAGTCAACACTTACAGATCTTCATTGAACCTGACTGATGTACAAATATTAAACGAACTGCCACATTTCCTTGCTAGAGAGCCCAGCAAATGGTTCAAGGCACTCAGTTCATACGTCGTCACATGGTCTCAATTCTGCCAGCTCTTCAGAACTGTTTTTCTGCCATCTGACAACCAGGAACGTGTCCTGAGAGGCATTCTTGACCGTGTTCAAGCACTTGATGAGCCCCTTCCGACATTTGTGGCTCATATGTTGAGTGAGTTTAACAAATTGAAGAGCCCACCCCCTGAACAAGAACAGATTGAACTGATATGCAAACATTCTCTCGAAAAATATAGAGTAGCACTGTATGGCATGCCTGTCTTTTCAGTAATGGACTTGTTGCTCCGAGCTCATGAGGTGCATGCAGTCCTTGGACCGAGAGGCAACCAGCCTCCTACCCAGTTCAGGAGAAACCAGACCAATGAGCCCTACTGCTTCAAATGCTCTCGGCCTGGGTTTACGTCTCGTACTTGCCCGAGCTGCAACGCTGACTCACATATGCCAGCACCCCCCGCTAGATCTCAGGTCAGTCCCGAGCCCACCCCCCTAATAAATCTGACCCCAGACAGAGGTGAGCGAAGACCTAATTCAGGAGGCACGTCAGCAGACTCCCTACTGCCGACCGGACAGCCGGGAAACTTCAGGGGAGGGAGGACATTTCAACGAGGCAATCCTCCCTCCAGACGCTAATTGAGCCTCAACCACTGACCACACCCCCACAAGAGAAACATGTTCTAGGCCATGTCGAGGACACTGATTCTCAGGCTCCCTGGAACACACCGCTGAGGACAAAAATAAACTTTAATTCTGTGTCTGTGGAGGCCACCTTGGACACAGGAGCTACCCTTTCAGCTGTACGAGCAGACTTCGTCAGAGTGGATAATGCCTATCCAACCAAAACACGCCAGTGGGTGGGTCCACCTGTAAGCCTTGCAGACAACGCTCCCTGCACCCCTGATGGTGTCACTTGGCTATCCATCGGCTTCATGAACAAGCGCTTCTACCAGCGTTTTGCCATAATCCATAACCTGTCAACCCCTTTCATTCTAGGAATGGATTTTATGATCAGAGCCTCGATTACCATCCACATCCCCTCCAGAACTGTATTTATGGATGAAATTCCTTGTCCTGTTGATGAGGTTGTGGACTATACAGTTGAACCACTGATTGAAAAAGACACTATTATGACCTTGGACACCCTACAATCTTCACTGGTGACAAAAATAGATGAGGCGAACCTTGAGGAACAAAGAAAGAGGCCATGTTCAGTCTTCTTACCCAGTTTGGTGACATGTTTGATGGTAATCTTGGACACACTTCCCTGACGGAACACACAATTGATACAGGTCAGGAAAAGCCAATAACTCTCCCTCCCTACCGCAGCTCTCCTGCGAAGAAAAGACTTATAGAAGAACAGGTAGAGCAGATGTTGAAAGACGGAATCATTGAGCAGTCTACCAGCCCCTGGGCTGCCCCAGTTGTGATCGTTAACAGACCTGACAGGGACCCAAGATTCTGTGTGGACTATAGAGGTTTGAACCAGGTCACACAAAAAGACTCTTACCCCCTGCCTCGTATTGACGAGTCGCTTGATTTTCTGGCAAGGGGCAGTTCATCACAACACTGGATTTGGCTCGTGGATATTGGCAGGTGGCAGTTGCAGAGGAATCCAGATCAAAAACAGCCTTCATATCACACTGTGGCCTTTTTCAGTTTCGTGTCCTCCCCTTTGGTCTCTGCAATGCACCAGCCACATTTCAAAGACTAATGAACAGTGTACTTGCTGGTCTCATCTACAAGACATGTGCAGTGTATCTCGATGATATTGTTATTGCTTCTCCCACCTTCGAAGAGCACCTGACTGATCTTGAGGAAGTGCTCAAAAGACTCAAAGCCGCTGGTCTGTCTCTGAAACTAAAGAAATGTCAGTTCTGTCTGAGTGAGCTGACCTTCCTAGGCTACCGCATCACGCCCTCAGGCATAAAACCCGATATGGAAAAAATCAAAGCAGTAATGGACTTTGAGAATCCATCCACTGTGAAACAAGTCAGACAATTCCTCGGACTGACGGGATACTATCGTCGTTTTGTTCAGGATTATGCACGCCATGCTGAGCCTCTTCATGCGCTCACAAGGAAGGACACAACTTTTCACTGGAATGATAAATGTCAGGAATCCATGGACATTCTGAAAAAATCTGTTACATCAGCACCTGTCTTACGGTTTCCTGATTTCACTTGTCCATTTTTCATTCATGCTGATGCTTGCGACCTTGGCCTGGGTGCAGCCCTGATGCAGAAAGACGAGGAAGGTCGTGAGGTTGTTGTGGCTTATGCAAGTCGCTCCCTGCACAAAGCTGAAAAACCCTACTCTACACCGGAGAAAGAGTGTTTAGCTGTGATTTGGGCTCTTGAACATTTCAGGCCTTATGTGGAGGGCCTCCATGTGACTATCTTCACAGACCACAGCAGCCTCCGGTGGTTAATGTCCTGGCCTAACCCCTCTGGCCGCCTTGCACGGTGGTCCTTAAGACTTCAAGATTTTGACTTCACTATTGTGCACAAGCCTGGTACACATAACAATGTGCCAGATGCATTGTCTCGCAACCCCTTACCCCATTCCGACAATGCCCCCACAGATATCCTACCAGACTACGCTGTCATTGGCAGTCTGGATCTTCGCAACCTGCCACCTGTGTTGTTGCTTTCGGATCGTTCTCATGTAAAGCATCTACAGCTGGATGACCCAGTAACAGGTCAACTTCTCCAAGGTCTTGAAAAGGACGGTCATGTGGACACAGATGAAAGTGGCCCTCATCAGTATATCGTTTATGACGGCCTGCTGTACTACAAAGACCCAAAATCAAAATGTGGTTTGCATCCATTAAAGGACCTGAAACTCTATGCCCCCACATCGAGCCGTGGCACCTTGCTCAATTATTACCACGACCACCCCACTGCTGGTCATCTTGGTGTTTCAAAGACTCTTGCAAGGCTGCGTTTCAGATTTTTCTGGCCAAAAATGGCTGCAGATGTGAAGCGATATGTCACCTCCTGTTCAGTGTGTCAGCTCACCAAGCCGTGTCAGAGAAAACCGGCTGGTCTCATGGTTCCCATCTTGCCTCAGAAGCCCTGGGAGTACACAGGAGTTGATTTTGTTGGACCGTTGCCCGCACTGCATCCGGAAATGCTTACTTGCTAGTCTTTGTTGACTATTTTTCCAAATGGATTGAGGTGTGTGCAGTCAGAGAAGCAACAGCGCAAGTAGCAGCCTCAAAGTTTGTCAGCGAGGTGTTTTCCAGGCATGGTGCCCCGACTTACCTTATCTCTGACAGAGGTACGCCTTTTGTGAGTAGGTTGTTTGAGCATGTTGTTTCAACCCTTGGGACTGTGCACAGGCTCACCACAGCGTACCACCCTCAAACGAATGCCACGGAACGTGTTAATCGAACTCTAAAAACTGCTATACGAGCTTATGTTGGTGACAAGCACACATCATGGGACAAGTTTCTTCCCCAGATCTGCTTTGCACTCCGTACAGCCCCCCACGAGAGCACTGGACTCAGCCCTTCAATGATGCTGTATGGTCGAGAGCTGGACACACCACTCGACCTCATAACACAACCATCCTGTGACGGTGTGGATGAGCCCAGCATCCTCTACCCGGAGACTCTCAGAGCCTCCATCAAGGAAGCACATGACCATGCCAGAGCAGCTCTTGACCACAGTCATAACAGACAAAAACATTATTATGACTTGAGACGCCGTCAGGCTACCTTTGCTGTGGGTGACCTTGTTAGAGTGAAATCCCACCCCAGGTCTGACGCACAGTCTAACTTTACGGCTAAACTTGCACCCCTGTTCACAGGCCCACTACGTGTTAGTCAGAAGCTGGGTGAGGTAAACTACAGACTGTCTAACCTGGACACTGGTACTGATGCTGGTGTCTTTCATGTAGTGAACTTGCAACCTTTCCACACGTGGGACTCTTCTTCCTCCAACAGGCGTGATGTTCCGGTGACTGAGGAGCAGCATGACCCTGAGGCCTTGGACAATGATTTGCCTCACGCCCAGACTGACATTGAAGCTGACCTCACTGCTGCAGACATGTACTATGACACGCCTGATGACACTGACCCTGTGTCTGACTCTGAGAACCGTGACACTGTAGTTGCGTCTGACCCTGACCCTGACCCTGACTGTACTGGACGATACAACTTCAGACCGAGACCCTGCCCACGAATCACATCTGGCTGGTCAGGCAGCAGATGGACAAACTCTTACCATACTGACAGACTTGACTTGAAGTAGGCAGTCGGTTTGTTATGTTATGTGAAAAAAAAAAAAAAAAAAAGCAAGCAGAAGTGTTAAAAGTAAAAATCTGCATTCCTCTGTTAGTATGTTTCGTTTACTATACTGTTTCTGATGTTTATCCTACTTATGTGGTTCAGGTTTTGCCACAGGTTGAGATTCTTATGTGCTTTAATTGAGAAATACTCTAATTCTTTTATTCCCGGCAGAATTGTTCTTTGGGTTTCTGTGAGGAACATGTGTAGAGAATGGAAAACTAGGAAAATAGGGATTTTGCACTATTCTTTTACTGTAACACTGTATAGTGTGTTTTGTTTTTCAATTTATATTCTGTTTGCTGATATGTATATCAGTATGCTGAACATTATCTCTTTCCCTGAGTGTATCTGCTAACTTTTCATTAAGGCTATGTGTAGCAGTATGTAAAATTGCAGGTTGGTTGCTTCTTCGGCTGTGTGCGGCTGGGGACAGCCTTCTTTTCACCAGGGGGGAATATGTAACAGTCAGAATATATTAGTAGTACCAAATAGCGCCACAAGGTGGTGTCTCTGTTTTGTTTTAAGTGTGTGGGTGAGAAAGTCTATCTAGTCAGTCCTCTTGAATGTCGATCACGAGAGGACTCTCCAAAAACTCTAGTGACGAGTTGGTGCAGGATAATAGCCTATTTTTACCTGTCATGTGTGATCAGGATATATAGTGCCGTGCTGACCTGGCTTTGTATGGTCCGTTTAGTAAAACAGAATAAAAGTGCCGTGTGGAAAATCCCCAACTTTGTCGTCTGTCTAACTGATGCTAACCAGCTATCCCGGGACTTATTGCCAACTAGCTACACCTCCTGTACCAGCAGCGTTACAGTGTGTTGGTCAATGATTTCCTCTATGTCGGGGAAACAAACCCAGTTGCAGAGAGGAGGAGGAGCATCGGTGTTTATCTCTTTATTTGCGGTGTTTTTATTAAAATGCATAGCCTAATATATCCAACAATATAATAGACTAAAAGTTATGTATGTTTAATTATTGTAGAATGTGTTTTAGCAACGGGAGACGTGGAGCAGCAGTAAAAAACGGCGCTCTAAAAAAGCCAACAGCTATTGTAAATTGTCATGCGACATTTAAAAGGTTACCAATCCTGCCTTATGCTGATAGTCTATTTGGTTTGTAGATAAAAGTAAGTTGTATTTAACTTCATCAAAAAAATGCAGAGAGAATTTTACTTTACATGTAGAGAACATTCAGATTCTTTTAAGTGTTTAGTATATTCAGTAACAACAGGAACAGCTGTCCTAATTGTGTTCAGAGATCTACAAACTAATTGGGTAAAATCATAACTGTAAAATACAGGTTTCTTTCTTGAGACTTTTAAATTTGAGTTGTATCAACAATCTTTCTGATTTAAAGTAAGAATTCAGGTTAAAATGTGTTCCTTAGAAATCTGAATGATGACAGTACATGTCTGTGTTCATTGAGATTTCAATCTACTTGTTTGTTGTTGACAGAGCGGCTTTGTGTCCCGCTTTGGAGCGAAGCAGGACTTGGAGAGCCAGGTGAACAAGGTGTGCTGTTGGACTCTGCTGGCCTTGGCTGTGAGCATCCTCACCTACTGCGTTTGGAAGAGAGTGGTTTAGCCAACACTGCCACAAGAACATGATGGCTGCCTGCGACCCACGTCACGGCTGCACGACTTGATGTTCCAACCAAGTGTTTTCCAGTTTTCAGTGTTTTCCAGTTTTTAGTGTTTTCCAGTTTTTAGTGTTTTCCAGTTTTCAGTGTTTTCCAGTTTTTAGTGTTTTCCAGTTTTCAGTGTTTTCCAGTTTTGGGTGTTTTCCAGTTTTCAGTGTTTTCAGTGTTTTCCAGTTTTCAGTGTTTTAGTTTTCAGTGTTCTTAGTTCTTGTTATGTTAATTCTTGCTCTTAGTTTCTTCTGCATTTTTGAAGTCTTACTGTGTTTAATAGGCTACCTTCAAATGAGATGTAACTATGAAGTCAAAGTATTTATTAGAGTAGAGGCTCTACACCAGACCTGGGCATTGTACGCCCCCGGGCCCCATACAGCCCTTTGGTTGACTCTGACCGGCCCGTGTAAGGTTAATTGGAAATTACAAAATAAACGTATTTTCTCATTTTACCTCATGCATGGACTAAAGCTGCATTGCTTTTATTTTGAAGTTGTTTTTTATTCACGTACATAATGACGCGATACATATAGCAACACGTGCGCGTGATTGGATCGTTGTCACAAGATAACTTTAGCCCTCAAAAATGTCCACTCATGGTAAAAAAAAGAAAGGTAAATGCCGAATGCAGGCTTTTCAACAAAAATTGGACTGCTAAATATTTGTTTACTGAAGTCGGAGGTAAAGCCGTGTGTTTAGTTTGCGGGGAGCAGATCGCCGTCTTAAAGGACTACAATTTGAGTCGGCATTACGAGACGAAACACGCGGAGAAATACAAAAAAATGACTGATACTGAAAGGGCGCGAACATCGGATGCTTTGCTAGCTAAGCTGCAAAATCAGCAAGGCTTTTTTTTTTTTTACCACGCTTCACACATCCAGGGATGCAGCAACCAAGACCAGCTTTGTGATATCCCACAAAATCGCTAAAAACAGTAAGCCATTCTCGGAGGGGGAGTTTGTCAAAGAGTGCTTGGTGGACTCTGCAGCACTAATATGCCCTGAGAAAAAAAGGCGCATTTGAGCAAGTCCCGCTGTCCGGGCGAACTGTGACGAGGAGGATTGAGGACATTGCGGGGAATCTGGAGCTTCAGCTGCAACGTGAAGTGGCAAGTTTTGACTTTTTCTCCTTGGCTTTGGACGAGAGCTGTGATGTTCGCGACACAGCCCAGCTTCTCATATTTGTCCGGGGGATAACGGACTTCAAGATTACGGAGGAGCTGGCAGCCACGCGGTTGATGAAAGGGACGACGACAGGGAGTGATCTGTTTACAGGTAAATGCGTGCATGGACACTCTGGGATTGAAATGGGATAAACTGGCAGGTGTCACAACAACGGACGGTTGTCCAAATCTTACAGGGAAAAAGGTCGGACTTTTGAAATGTATGCAAGATAAAGTGACAGAAATCGACGCAGATCAGAAATTGGTATTTTTGCATTGTATCATACACCAACATGTGTTGTGCAAGTCAGTGCTAAAAATTAACCATGTTATTGATGTTGTTGCTAAAACAGTAAACTTCATCAGGGCACGGGCATTGAATCACAGACAGTTTGTCACACTTTTGTAGGAGCATGAGACTGAGCAAAGTGACATCGGCTACCACACAGCTGTCAGATGGCTCAGCCTGGGCAAAGTGCTAAGAAGAGTTTGGGACCTGAAAGCAGAGACTCGAGTGTTTTGTGAGAAGAAAGGCAAAGACATCCCAGAGCTCTCAGATGAGGACTGGATGGCAGATTTTGCAGTTTGCTGTTGATGTGACTGCACTGATGAATGAACTGAACACCAAACTGCAAGGCAAGGGCCTTTTTGTTCATGAAATGCACAGTCTGGTGAAGGCTTTCATGAGAAAGATGCAGTTTCTTTCAAGCCAACTGGAGAGCAACACTCACTCACATGCAAACCCTGAAAGAAGTCACACCATCAGCTGATCACCTCCGCAGGTACTCATCCATGTTAGGAGCATTGCATGGTGAGTTTTCAAGGCGATTTGAAGATCTCAGAACAATCGAGGATGAAATGTACATGATTTCATGTCCCTGTACCTTCAGTGTGGATAATAAACCCTGTGATGTTCAGCTGGAACTCATTGACCTGCAGTCTGATGCAGTACTGGCGGAGCACTTTAAGTCAGGATCTCTGCTGGATTTCTACTCTTCTCTTAAGGAGGAGAACTTTCCAAACATGAGGAGACATGCTCAGAAGATGTTGGTTCTCTTTGGCTCTACCTACATATGTGAACAAACATTTTCAATGATGAAGTTTACAAAATCCAGGTATAGATCCTCTCTCACTGATGATCATATATCAGCTGTGCTTCGCATCTCCACCTCAGACATTCAACCTGACTTCGATGCACTCGTTAAAGCCCTGCAGAGACTAGATTTCTCTCACTGAAAAAGAAAAAATAACTTAAAAACACCAAATGAGGTGGTTAGACTACAAATGTAGGCATGTAAAGGTATCAACTAGCAGTGAACTGGGACACTTTCTTTGGAAGCCTTTTTCTCAAAATCACAGTTCAGTTAGTTCAATATGATGTGTCTTGCTTAATGTTTGGAGCACAAAGACAATATTGTGATGTCTGTAGAACGCTAAGAACCTCTTTCCAACAGTATTTGAAACTCAAAATGTGTTTTGGAGTGAATGTGACTGAAAATGTTCACTAATGTAAGTCACAAATGTTTAAAAAAAAGTTTCACAAAAGTTCACATTTTGTTTACCATTGCTTTGGGAAATTTGATTGAATAAATGACATTTTTTTGTAAGGCAACCCCTAAACTTTTTCATTGCTTAATTATAACATATAGCCTACTCTTACCAGCTTGTCAAAACGATGCTATTTGCTGCTTTTTATAATAATTAATATTATGCAGAATTGAGTTCAGCCTTTTGGCCCGGCCCTCCACAATATTTTATGTAAAAATAATTGCCCACCCCTGCTCTACACTATAGATAAGGTGTAGTTGCATGGCTGGTGTTTTGCCAGAAATACAAAAGTAAACAAACATTTAAAATCTGTTATAATGTGAATTTAATGTAAAGTAGTAAGGTCATGATGGAGATTCTGGATGTGGTTCATACAATGTTTTGTTGTTATTTTTATTCATTGTAGATAAAGGAGCTGCTAAAATTTAGACAAAGAGCACATGTATACATAATTACACTAAACTGCACAAATATAACTACATTAAATGTTGATTAAATTACAAGCTGAAAGGAAAGTGTTCATCAGATATCACATGCAGTGTTTGGCGTTTGAATTCTACTGATAGTTTGAAGGTATCATACTGATTACTAATAAAATGATGCATCTTAAACCACCTCTGCAGACATTTCCATACTGTCGCTCAGTCTCTGACAGTTCCTGGTTGTGGTCGGTAGGTGGCAGTGTTGGCTAAACCACTCTCTTCCAAACGCAGTAGGTGAGGATGCTCACAGCCAAGGCCAGCAGAGCCCAACAGCACACCTTGTTCACCTGGCTCTCCAAGTCCTGCTTCGCTCCAAAGCGGGACACAAAGCCGCTCTGTCAACAACAAACAAGTAGATTGAAATCTCAATGAACACAGACATGTACTGTCATCATTCAGATTTCTAAGGAACACATTTTAACCTGAATTCTTACTTTAAATCAGAAAGATTGTTGATACAACTCAAATTTAAAAGTCTCAAGAAAGAAACCTGTATTTTACAGTTATGATTTTACCCAATTAGTTTGTAGATCTCTGAGCACAATTAGGACAGCTGTTCGTGTTGTTACTGAATATACTAAACACTTAAAAGAATCTGAATGTTCTCTGCATGTAAAATAGTGTGATCCTGCAGCAGCAGCTCAACAGATATGACTGATTAACATTTTTATCAAAAATAAATCATTGTGGGAAAAAGCAGATTCAAGTTACATGCAGACATTCTCTGGGGCGCCATTAAACCTTCCGGTCTCTAAAGCTAAAGCTAATGTTCCTGAACGTACTTATACACAACATCCTTGCCTTTTGGGTTATACTTTCTTTTTTACAAAGGTTTATTTCTTTATGTCTTTATTTGAGAGACAGGGCAGTGGGAGATAGGGTTATCGCTTGGAGGACTGTAGACTCTGTACATGGGGCGTGTGTATGAACCACTGTGCTACCGGCGCCCCTCTTTTGGTTATTCATAGACCTCTACTCTTCTTTATGAGACAGTAAGCTTGTGTTTTTGTTTTACACCTTATAACAACAGACTATTTTCTCTGTACATGAGAATCATTCATCCTGAAAATCCCAGTGTAGCCTATTTTGAAAAATTAATGACAGACGATTAAAATAAAGAATGAAACTCATTGGCTCAGGGATGACAATGAAAAGTATCCCAAGTAAATATATTTATAGTAAGCCTCTGATCAGACATCTTCTCAAGCCTATTCCTACGCCGGAGTATTTTGAAATGTGTGTCTGAGGTTAGATGTGGAGTGTGCGTTCAATGAACAAAAATAAGCTTTTTGTTTTGTCGAGTAATGTAGGTAGGTAGGTTGCTTTTCTCAGAGTTTAGAAAAGGATATCTGAGACATTAAAAAACTGTAGTGTGCCGTCTTCAGGTTTCATAGCTCAGATTACTTCAGATGCTCTAAAGCAGTGGTTCTCAAACTATGGTACGCCTACCACCGGTGGTACGCAAAGAAATCTCCACAATATAAAAAACAAACCTGTTCAGCATAAAACTACATTTTTTATTTTTGTCATACTCTTATCTGTCTTGTATCTATTGGGTAGTATTTATATCAAATGTGTTTTCCCCTCTAAATTAATCTAGTTTTTGCAACAAACAACTTTAATCTGCTCAATTCATGCTGGCGCGCACAGACATAAACAACACCAGGAGTACGCCTCACGTTTTGAAAAGTTTCACTCTATATTCCGTTTTATTTCAGTCCTGAAACAACAGCAAGCAGCTGTAGGTCTACATTAACAGATATTCTGTTATTTATTGGAGTTCAGTACAATCGGCAGCAAGCAGCTACGGAGCCAGGAGAAGCTTCAGTTTTTGATGCATGTACGGACAGTCGCTCACCCTCTCTCCCTCTCTCTCTCTCTCTCTCTCTCTCTCTCTCTCTCTCTCTCTCTCTCTCTCTCTCTCTCTCTCTCTCTCTCTCTCTCTCTCTCTCTCTCTCTCTCTCTCTCTCTCTTGCTCTGAAGCTGATGTGATTCTGCTCTATTTTGCTGTCTTAACACTAGGACCACCAACAGTCTAGATCCCCCTCCAAGCGCTGCAGCCGTCTTTCAGATGGCATATGTTAATTTATTTTTCGGATGTCTTTTTTAGCCAGGTCACTGTCACACTAATCCTCATAAAACTTTGCAAAATAAAGATAAAAAATAAACAAATAAATTACGAACAAAAGACGGAAGCGTACAGCTGGATTATACCGCCCTCTAGAGGAGAGACTGACGTAATGCATCCAAGACTGGCCCTGTTACTGTGGTAACCAATTATCAACAGGATCCGCAGGGCTGTTTTAGCACATTTAACCCAGTCTGTGTGATTAACAACAGACATTGACGACATAATGTCTGGAGGTCACGCAGAAAGCCTCATTAAAGACATTATTGGTGACATAGTGCGGGAGTGTGCGGTGAGAGGACATGCGGTGTCTGAAACTCTGGTGGCTTTCATGGTCAGTAACCAGGACTAACCTGCTAACTACGTTGTAGCTTAAAGTTAGCTGGTAACTACCACTAGTTCAACATGTTTAATGCTTAATATAAATTAAGTTAAGACAGTCATCAATCTTTTTCATGTGTTAACAGGTGAAAACTCTTCAAATAACAGTTAACAATGTCATTTTATATTTATTAAAACCTAAATATAGGCTACATCTCCCCTTCTACTAACCAGTCTGGCATGTGTGGAGGACATTAAAACTCCATTTATAAACTGTTTATTTATATTTATCATATATACTGTATTTAATACATGCATTGTTTTGTCCTGTTTGCATTTTGTCAGGTGAAAGCTGTGGTGCTGGACCCTAGAAATGGCTTTAATGGGGACCGGATACTGACCAAACAAGATGTGCAGAAACTCGAAGGGGTGAGTTTACTACAGTGTTCAATTATTTTTTCTCCTTATAACACTTCTCGTTGCATTAAAGAAAAAAAACATTTCTGTTGATGACTATTACTAAATTCATTTTGATGTAATTAGATGTATCTAGAAATTACCCTATGAAAATATATTTTTAAAGTTAATACATTTTCAGCTCACAACCCCCAAAATAAGGGTGCCAGACTACCGTCCCTGGAGGTGGTTAAGGCACTCACAACCAAGCACACGCACTAATAGGCCTATCCAAACACTGGTAACACTGAAACAATTAAAAACCATACAGTTATAGTAATTGTTTTCCGTTTTCCATGAACAATTAAGTCCTATACTTTCATAAGTATTTTCAAAATCTGTTTAAAAACCCTCTCTATACAGTACGTCAGTCACATCATGAAGAAATGCCGGAGCACATTCTGGCTGGGTGGGTGGGAGGGACTTGTCATTAAATGTGCCTTGTAATTAATGTAATTAGATTTTTTTAACCAGAGATAATGATAATAATAATAATAATAATAATACATTTTATTTGTAATGCACTTTATCTTTTTGGAAAAAATCTCAAAGTGCTACAGAGATTAAAAATAAAATAATAAATCATCAGAATAAACCATTGGAATAAAAACAAGAAAGATTAGACAAATACACTTCCTGAGATTTATGTTGTTACAGTATTTTCTAAATACTGATGTCATGAGGTGAAGCCGCAACATTTATATTTTGAATTGACTTAGAAAAAATACATCTTTTAAAGGTTATAAAATATTTATTGTTCATTTTGAAGGATTTATTCATTGATTTAAACGGCTATTTAACTGTAAATGAGTTCAACTTATGAGTGTAAAAACCTTGGACTAGTCACTGATTTGCTCTTCACAGCTGTGTCTGGATAAACTGATGGAGAAGTGCAGCCCGTGCCTCGACACAATCAAGATGCAGGTGTATTTTGATTTGAATTACACCTCCAGACGTAAGTGTCTCTGTTTGAAATGAAAACCAATAAAACCAACCATATTATTTTTACGATCATCCAGTCAACTCGCCTGAATCAGTAAGATTATTCTGCAGGAAAGATTTTAGAATAATTGAGAAGCAAATCCAACATGTTTTTGACTAAAAACCTGAAAAGTTGTTTATGGAAACCTTCTTTTAAATTGTGGCCTTTTTAAGGATTGCATATGAGCTTTGTAAGTTGAACATCTTAGCAGAGACCTGAATGTGTTTGTGCAGGAGAGTTCCTGGAGGATATCCACCAGGTGATGGAGTCCAAGCTGAGCTCAGTGAGCAGAGAGATCACAGACAGCAGGGTGAAAACACGGGAAGAGTTAGAAGCATTGTACCGCAAAGTCGTAACGTACATCCTGCTGCGCTCCGGCGTGGGCTCCCCCGCAGACGTCAACACTGTGAACGAGGCTACAGGTTCAAACTAACACAGTGTTTCACTTTGTCAGAACCACAGATAGAAAACATGCACTGACTGCATTAGACTTTATGGTGTGCAAATAATGTTTTTTGAAACCAGCAAATATTTATCAAGTCCCTGACAATGCAGGACTGGTCGCTTCTAAAATATATATACTGTACCAAAGCCAATTATATTCACATGCTCTGTTTTTCTGGATTAACGAGATACTGGAACCTCTAAATCCCAACAGGAAGTCTTATTCTTACCACTTAATGCAGTAAACATTCCCAAACTGTAAAGTTTACACTTTATGTAACATGTATGGTGTTGTTATTAGTCTGTAACTTTGAGCAGGCCATTTGGATCTTTGCAGACACAAACCCCGCTCTGATCTGTCAGGATGTTTCACTCATATAACGCAGATGCGTCTGAGCTGCATTCAGGCGGCTACCTGCTGACTCAAGAGACAAACAGGTATTTATTGTAAATACTGGATCTCCACTAAGTGCAACTGAGGCACCAGTGGTTTGAAGGGACACTTGTAACGCTGACATCATTATCTCGTTGATTCAGAAAAACAGAGCAGATTTTTATTTTCTCATGTGAATGCAATACACCTCTGTATATGTTACACTCAATCACAGATATCTCTTTTTTTTTCACAAAGGGCGATTTGTTGTGAAGCCAGAAGTAACTTTTATCAACAGGCGTTAATCCATAAATACAAACCAACTAATCCATCACAATCACATGTAGTTATTTTAAAGGACAAAGACAACAGGGAGAAATCAGCTGAAATGATATCAAACTGTATGATACCCTGCAGTTCACGCTAGGGGTACCAGCAGTCAAGGGAGACAGTGTGGATAAAGTCATTCAGGAATAAGACCTCAAACCTCGTAGCTGCTGAGAAAAAGTAAAAGTATTGACTGAACTGTCGTGGGTATAACCTTTAAATGTTTCCACTAAGTTTTTTTGCTGTATAAAATTGATCATCTTCAAGTAACTCTCAAAACAACCTGACGTAAGATACAATTCTAACCAATAGTTTTACTCGAGTATTCTACTGCCCAATAAATGTACAACATGCCTGAGAGAAAAACCTCTCAGGCTAATGAAACATCAGTAAAACACACTTTGTTAAACGGACACAATCTGACAGTTTCAGTCCAAAATGATTTGGACTGAAACTGCTTAGACTATAAGTCATTTGTATTTGAACTGTTGCTTCCTCCTCTCTCGTCAGCTGCCCTGCAGAGCGTCTTCCCTCACACTGAGCTGGGAGCCTTCATGGTCCTCCTGAAGAAAGACAAAGAGCTGCAGCTCAAAGAGCTCACCATGACCATCACAGGGATCCGACTCTTCAACAAGGCCGGAAAGAAAGGAGAGCAGGAGACTGACCTCGGTAAACTAAGTACACACAAGCAGATAGTGACATGAAAGCACCATGTCTGGATGTTATATGAATATTCACATGTCTGATCAACTTGGGCAAAAACTTGAAAATTGTGGGGGTTTTTTTTAATATTGACTCTATTCTGATGTGTTTTGAGTCCAGTTGAAGTTTTGAAATTGGCTTTAATCTAATCATTTGTATATTATAATTCTTCAACATTTGTCCAGTACAAGTTGTTGTTTTTGTCCATGCTAGGCCACTGATTGTTATATTTAGTGTCTGTTAACATGACAGAAAGGATCCATACAGAGATAGAGCTTTTAGTTGAAAAGGAAGATGATGTTTTAACAAGAAACAGACGCTGCATCGCTCACTTCAAAGACACCCGACTCAACTGACAACAACAGTCATTTTAACCTCACAGACACAGAAGAAGATGATCATCTATTGCTTGAGCTGTTTGTGTTATAGTAGACCTAAAAGCTTGTTTTCTGCACCATTACAGTCCAAAAATGATACAGCAACTCTAGAATTTCTACAACTTCAGTGTATTAACGCAGAAATCATCTTAAAATGTCCACATTAAGAGAATCAGCACCAGTGTTCATAGTGAGGGAATTGTATCAGATATTTGAACAATCTGGGAATAAATTCCTTACCAAGACATTTCTTCACAAATGTGTTCATAAAGGAGTCTTATAACACATTTAAAAATATTTAAATTTAACTCCTGTAGGAAAATTTGTGAGAGCTGCTCAAATTTGAGGTACCTGGAACCTTACTGGTGATAAATTGAAAAAGTTAACCTCTGCCTAAGGTAGCTTGTGAGGGGTCAAACTAGGGTCCAATCATCTCCACTTCTGTAAAACATGTCACTGTCTTTTAACATTCTCTCTGCAGTGTCTGCAGCTCTGACTGAAGCTCTTCCAGCCATCAGTACGAGCTTAGAGAACGAGCTGAAAGTCTCTCAGAGTTTGGCTTGGAGATACACGGCTGTGCTGGAGAAGCTGACGCACCCCGACTGTCGATCTGCAGAGCGTGATGTTCCCATGGTGTTACTGAAACAGGCTCTCTACAACGTCAGGCAGCATGAAGGTTTCCTCAGGATGTTACTGGTGAGGACACAGCAGCTGGTGGTGATGATCTGTAGATATTTAAGGTTTATGTAGCTTACATTTCCATAGTTCTATCTGAGAGATTTTGATGTTTTAACAGGTTTATTTCACTTGTGTGTGTTTCCTTTTATTCAGCACTTAGTGACTTAGACTAGAGGAACTTATTTATTAGCAGAGTGGGTTGAAGCTTGTCTCATACACATTCCTAAGTGGATCCAAAGTAGATCCAAAAACACGAATAGGTAAAGAGAAGCAAACAAGCTCCGCACACAAACAAGCTCCCGTTTAAAATATTTATTGACAAGTGACATTTCGAGCCAATGAAGAACGTCTCATGGTGGGTGACTTCTGAAGCTTCAAATGTCACTGTGCCTGAAAAAGATCTTTAACTAGTTTGACTTTTTCCATTTGTGGGGCAGGTTGTTCCACGGTTTTGGAGTCCTCACAGAAAAACGCTCTTTCCTCTTTAGTTTTCAGTTTGGTATTTGGAACGACCAGAAGTCCTCTGTCCGAGGATCTCAATGTACAAGTCGGCGCTTATGGTACTAATAGGTCAGAGATGTAGCAGAGAGAAAGGTTGTGGACAGCATAAAAAGTAATCAGTACAATCTTAAAATCCATTCTAAACACACATGGAGGCAGTGTGAAGATACTAAAACAGGAGTGGTGTGGTCATGCTTCCTGGTGCTGGTTAAAAGGCTGGCAGCTAAGATCTGTGCCGTCTAGAGTCGATCTATAGATTTGATGCTCAGGCAGGTCAAAAGGCTGTTAGAGTAATCGAGGCGTGATGAGATAAAAGCATCTAAATTCTGTAAAGTGTTTTAAAGATGTCATTTTAGAAATATTTCTGAGATGATAAAAACAAGACCATACAAGTTTTGTTGCATGCTCAAAATGTAAGTCACTGCTTTGTAAATATGTGTTTTCCATTGTTCCACCAGGCTGATGCTCGTTTATGCGCCAAACACGCAGAGCTCCTGCAGGCCGAGTTCTCCTCAAACATGAAGCTGCTGAAAGAAACTGTGAAGTCAAAGGCAGCTGTACCCACTGCAACAGTGTTTGTAAGTTCTGATACCTTATCTCTCACAGAAGAAGTTCAATCATTTAATACAAATCATTATAATAGCTTGAATTTATAAAGAGCCTGTCAAGGAACCCAAGGATACTTTGCTCTATCAGGGCAGAACAAAGAAAGGACAGAACAGATTGAATCAGTAAGTAAGTAAGATTAAAAAAAAAAAAAGGATTACCCAGGATGACAGAATTTAGAGAAGTCCATAGGCTGTGTTGAACAGGGGGGTCTTTTGAAAGTGTCTGAGGATGTAGCGTTGAGGGTATCTCCTGGGAGAGCGTTCCAGGGGGGGGGGGGGGGGTACTCAAAAAATAAATAAAGGTACTCTGGAGTTGTAGTAAGAAAATTTAATTTGGTACAGTATCGCATCTATGGCAAAGTGCTTTACAAAATGTAAGTTGTTGCTAGTTCTGTGTTATTTCCTTGTTAATTGTTTAGCTCCAATACACAAGTCAAATTACTTTTCTGTGTAAATGTACTTGGCAATAAAACCCGGTTCTGATTCTGATTCTGAAAATATTACAATATTACCAGTGCAGTCTTAAGATAAGCAATAAATGAGAGTAATACTAAGAAGCTATTCACAATGTGCTGTGTTAATAGAGTAGATATTGCACAGTGTTTGTATAAGGCTCAATATGAACAAAATATAAAGAAATTGTTGACCAGTTTTCGGACAGATTGCACGGTTGCCAGGTTAAATAAATCCAGGTTAATAGTCCATGAAATTTCAGAGTAAGTGTCTGAGTGCCTAATGGAGTTATAAAATCTGAAGGCCACAGGCAGGAATTACCTTCTGTTCATCAAACTCTCACTAATGTATCACATAATGCTCATCTTACAGTATAAATCACAGTTTGTGCGTACAAGATTAAAACAAAAAGGAATAATCTCGATCATGTCTTCTCATCAGTTCAAGAAGAAACCAACAAGTGTGCCTTTATGAAAACAGACGTTTACCATTACAAAATGTTGCTTTGTTTTATCTTCCTTTGTTTTTTCACTGCACCTTTTACTGCATCTTTGATCAAAGGTTTTGTATGAATAAAAAAACATGAAGTGCTTCAGACTCATTTTTGGTCTTTCAGCCGCTGTTTAAGGCTCTGTCTAAGCTGTGGTCGGGACTCCAGGACGAGGCCGAGCTGCTGAACATCCTCAATAACATCAGCATCAACCTGCAGCCCTTCATCGCCTCGCAGGCCAAGATCTTCTCTGAAGCTCATTTAGACGGCCTGTTGGAGTCCTCAGAGGTGAAGACAGATGAGCAGAGGATGATCGAGTCCTCGGGTAACGACTTCTTTTGAAATCAAATACAGAATAAAGTCCATATTCTGCAAGACTTCAAGAACTGAACTGTATCTGAACCCAACTGACTCTTAATGCTGCTGTTTCTCTTTGTAATGCTGTGTAGGCGAGCGAATCGATCCAGGTGAGATGAAGTCACACGATTGGCTCCTCCCTGAAACTACAGCCAGCTTTAATGAGCTGCCACTGCAGTATAACGGAGTCTGTGGATACACTGTGGTGACCAGAGACGGACTCCTACTACCAGGTACTATCGTCATGAAACACCAGGAAGTCATCCACACTCATCTTTTTTAAAGATTTATTATTGGACCTTTTATGCCTTTATTTGAGAGACAGGGTAGAGACAGGGGATTGGGTCAGAAATTAGGGACAGAGAGAGTGGGGACATGCAACAAATGAACCACAGGTCGGATTTGAACCCGGGCTTCCTGCTTTGTGGACTGTAGCCTCTGTACATGGAGCACGCGAACTAACCACTAGGCCACTGGTTGTGGGGTGATCTTACAACCATTTTATCTGGTGCATGCTAAGGCCTTTAGAAAATGATGCTTTTATATCTTTCTGTCATACCTAAAAACCAATCAATTTATAATATACGGAAGTGGCAATTTTCATAAAGAGTGTTTAAAAATGTCACTCAAATGGTAGCAGCCAATCTTTTGCCTGTTTTTGAAGCGTGTCCAATTCAATATATCAGTACTCAGGGCTTCATCTTTTTCGTTTTCCAGTTTATTCACTTGAGAGTTTCTGCAGTTTCCTGAACAGCATCCAAACGTAATATTCCAAAATCTGAATCTACTCTAAAGATAAAGATACTCTCATTTTCTCACACCACCTGTACATCACGCCCTCCATAATTACTAAACTCTACCTATAAATACCTAAATACCTGCCAAAAATATGTCCAAACTGATCCATTAATCAACACAAGCAATATAAGTTTTTAATTTCAAATCAAATGCTTCCCATAAATTAAATTCTTACTCCCCATGTGCAATTAACTCGATTCTGATTCTGATTTTTCCTTTAAAACTGCTCAGTTTTAAATATCTGTGTCCTTTATTTCACAGGTAATCCTTACATTGGAGTCCTCAAACACAAAGAGAAGCTGTATGTTTTCAGCTCCAAAGACGCTGCGGTAAAATTTGCCTCCAGTCCAGAAGAGTTCATTGAAGAGGTGGCGGAGAAAGCAAAGCTCTCACCTGAACTTATTCAGCTCCTCAAACTGCACCAACAGTTCTCCTGCGTCAGTGCGTACCCTGAGGTCAGCAGCTTCAGTGAAAGACGTACACCTGTAACACCTGTGATAAATATAAAGATTGGACAGAGCATTCACCCAGAAAACAGTTTTATTTGAATGTGATTTATTGTTTGGAGGGGATCCAGTCTCTCTTCTCTGACGTTTTATCAGAGTTTGAATGTTTGCTTCATGGCTTTGTAGATGCAGCCAGGTGAAAGTTTACTGGTGAAGCCGATCACCAAATGTGAGAGCGGCACACAGACCGACATCCACCCGCTGGAGACGAACATGGACAAGTCGTACGAGTGGAACGAGTGGGAGCTGCGAAGAAAAGCTATCAAACTGGTGAGCCTTAATTACTATTAATGTATTATGTGATGAACCATTGTAAAAAATGTCACACTGTGACACCACATTAGGTGTAAAAGTAATATGTATATCGAATCATTTGATATAAATGAATGCATCTTTTTGTATTGAATATTTCCAGGCTGATCTGTTGAGCAAAGTGACCCACTCGACACAAACCGATCTGAGCCACATGAGACGAGAAAACACAACCCAGACGTGGCTACCAAAGAACGCCGTCTGCCAGAGTAAGAGAGACGGTGAGAGCAGCGTGCCCAAACCTCAGACCTACCTGACAGGACTGAGAGGACAGAGAGATGGACACGTGGTCAAAACCAACCTGACCAGACCTGTGGACGATTAAAAGGTGTCCCAAAGGGACTTCATTTGTGAAAAATAAAAGTCAATGTTAGCAGTTTTTGTTTTATGGTATTCTTTTTATTCTTGTGGATCCTGAGGAATCTGCACTAAACTTTATGAAAGATAAAAAAAAAGGCTCAATGACGTTATAGTTTAAAGCTTTTCTCACATAAATCTAATTTTACTGGAATAGTGTGAGTGTGCTGCTGCCTACATTGATTTTTTTAACTAATTGACTGTTTTACTACATTCATCTGGAAATGATGACAACTGCAGGCTGTGACAACAATAAATCAACTTGATGTGACTCTTTTCTGCATGCACACTAAAGTTTATATCTTTAATTTTTTTAAATAATTCAGATAAGCCAATCTGCCGTTTACTCTTGGTAAGTTAGCGGACCAGACCTGTGGCATCTCCTGCATGTCATTCCTCACTCTCTCTATCCTCAACTTCTGACTCTATCCACTGTCCTATTTCTAAATAAATGCATAAAAGCTCCAAAAATGAACCTTAAAAAAATTTTGATGAAGCTTTTTTGTACCACAATTACAAATAATTGCTTTTAGCTCATGTCAAAATCTGAAAAAATAAATGTGCAAATGGTAACAAAGACAGAGAAGTGCTCTTTTGTTGTGCATTTAAAAATAATGAGGAAAGCTATTATATTATATTATATTAGAAAAAAACTGTAATTCATTTATTTGACTTTTTCTCTTATTTATTTATTAATTTAGGCTAATTGCTTTTTAGTTTGTGTTGAATATTTTCCTTTTTTTAATTGTGTCTTTCTTTTGTTAGTGACAGATACAAGGCACTGTTCATCTTTTCCTTTTTGTTCATACTTTTGGGTTATAAAACGGTTATTGTGCAAAACGAATGCAAAAAAAAAAAAAACTTTAATGATTTGTTAAACATAACAGAACACGTCCACAGTATTGTGAATCAGATTTCATCCAGCTCCTACTTTAAATCAATAAACTTGAGTGAATATTTTACCTTTCTATGCCCGGTGTTATGGGTTAAAGAGTGACCATGTTATCTGGTGACTGGCGTCTGTGGTTGTCATAGTTACAATAGACGTTGAAGGTTGAAAAGTTTAAAGTTTCCTAACAAATGCCTCTTTATGTTTTGAATTGTAAGGTCAAAAATACTATATATATATATATATATATTAGATATGGAAAAAAATCATCATTAGGACATATTCCGTCTTCAACATCTGCTGTAACTATGACAACCACAGACGCTAGTTAACATTAGTCACTCTTTAAACTGTGAATGTAACACTGAACCTCGCTCAATAAAGTTTGTACCAATAAAAAAAACGATGTCACGTGACAAGTCAGTACACTTAGGACCTCTACGTCTTGTTGTCATCACTAACCCGTGAAATCTTCACCACTTAAAGTAAAAGAAGATGTCTTTAAGTTGTGATGAGCTGCAGGATGTGAAACAGAGACTGAGCAGTTGTATCGATGACTCGACAGTGAAGCTGCGCAGACTCAGTGAGGACATCTGGAGCTGTGCAGAGCTCGCATATCAGGAGCACAAGTCTCATGACAGGCTGGTGGAGTTCTTCACTCAGGAAACAGGCTGGAAGGTCGACGCTCACTTCAAGCTTCCCACCGCTTTTAGAGCCACATGGACACCTGCGGGCAGCAATCACGGTCACGTGGTCAACGTGGGCTTCCTGTGCGAGTACGACGCCCTGCCGGGGATCGGACACGCGTGTGGACACAACCTGATAGCTGAGGTCGGAGCTGCTGCGGCTGTGGGGTTCAAAGATGTGCTGGAGAACACCCAGGACCTCCCAGTACAGGTCAAGGTGAGGACTGGTTCAGAGGGGGAGACCAGGGACAGGTGTAACACTCAGTATCTGCTTTCTGACTTATAACCAGCAGGGGGTGACTTCTCTGGTTGACTGTTCAGAAGTCTGATTTATTCCCTCAGGAAACATTCCCCTTTTGTGTTGCACAATTAATTGAATTTTTATCACAATTGTTCCTTCCCACAGTTAAAGAAACGTGATTGACAGTGGTTATTATCAACATTTAAAATACATGCTTCACCTGTCAAAAACTCAATGTGGTCAATCATGAAAATATTTTGACCAATTACTAACATTTAAAAGTTCCAGAGTCCGCCATCTCGTTTGAGTTGATGCGCAGTGAATCAAAGGATGCACTGGATGGATGCTTTGTTGGACAGGGAAGACGACGCATTTGCAAGTCACATCTGAAGGCACTGCTGCATCTTTGAATGTCTTTTCACTTTAAAAAAAAACTCTCTGACAGCTCAGCTGATGAGTCAAATGTAAAATCCGCCCTTATGACATCAATTTAGTTTTTGATCGGTAAAGATCTGTGGTAAAGTTGATGTCATAACTTTCAATCTGCAAGAGTGTCCTGACTTTATTTCAAAATAAAAGCAGGGTTGAATTCAGAACAACAGGTAAAGTACTCTCAGCCTAAGACAGTACAAACATTCAAAATAAAAGCCTAACAATTTTTATTTTTAGTACAAAATAATGAAATTTCAATCACACGATTAAATACGTGATAAATTATGATTAACTTTTTTAAATTAGCCATTAATCCGGTTTAAAAAATTCATAATTAGACATCACTAGTTGTAATATTTTGTAGATCGTGTACACAAAGACAAACACTTGCAAAGTTTTAGTTTTTGCAGGTTAATTACACTTTAGTAATACAAAATGTATTTCAAAATACTCAATGACACTTTAAAGAGTTCCATGAATACAAAGCAAAGTAAAGGAAACAAAGTCAGAATCAGTAAAAGGTAATTAATCCCCAGGGGGAAATAAATTCTGAATAGTTACAAACTCATGAATTAAGTGTTCAGTAGATGAAAAAACATCTCGACAAGTAAGCAAACAGATAGCCTCCTGGTCCGTTGTTTACTGATCTTCTATAAATAAAATATTTTAATCGTAATGATTATGTCCACAGGTGACAGTTCTGGGGACTCCAGCTGAGGAGGATGGTGGAGGGAAAATAGACCTGTTAAATGAGGGGGCTTTTGATAACATGGACGTAGTGTTCATGGCTCACCCCCTGCAGGATGACGCTCCCTATCTCCCCCTAGTGGCTGAACATGAGTAAGTTTTAAAGAAATAGTTCAATATTTTCTAGTGTTTATGTTTGTTTGGTGCTAATTTGTAAATGCAGGATATTTATGCATGGGATTTGTTTTTAATTCACAAACTTCTGCAACACATTGAAGTGAAACGTTGCCAATGTTTTTGTGCAATTTAGACAGTGTTCAGGAGTTTGCTTTCAACGTTTGATGCATTCATTCCTCCCTTACACATTTGCCTCATGTTTGTTTGGGTACTTGACCATGATGCCTTGCTCTTTAGTCTTTCTTTTGATGCTCTTACTGTGTCATGATTAAAACATGGGTTGTATGGATCTTTTCTGTCGTGTGTGTTTTTCCTCCAGCGTCATTATAAAGTATCACGGGAAGGCGTCTCACGCCTCGGCCTACCCCTGGGAGGGAGTGAATGCTCTGGACGCGGCGGTGCTGTGCTACAACAGTCTGTCTGTGCTCAGACAGCAGATGAAGCCGGACTGGAGAGTTCACGGTGAACACATGATGAGTCTGTGTCCTCAGGTGTGTTTCTCTGAGGAGTTCACTGAGCTCTGGTTTAACTGTGTCATTCAGGTATCATAAAGCACGGAGGAGAGAAACCCAACATCATCCCTGCCTTCACTCAGCTGGAGTACTATCTGAGGACTCCATCCCGGGCCGAGCTTCTTCTCCTGAAATCCAAAGCTGAGGGGTGTTTCAGAGCAGCTGCTGAGGCCACTGGATGTCGGGTATAAAACAATTCAAAACATGAAGGGAGATCTGCAGTTTGTGCAGACGTTTAACTCTTTTTGTCCTCCTCAGGTTGAAGTGGAGTATTCGAAAAATGCTTTTGACAACATATTGAGGAATAAAACTCTGGAGGATTTGTACGAGAACAATGGAAAGGCTCTGGGGATGGAGTTCACCACGGATGAAGAAGTCCTGAACAACGCTTCTGGTGAGACTCATTTAAAAAAAGAAAAAAAAAATGAGCCAATGCGCTTTAAGATTGTAGAGCCCCCTCCTTCCTTGTTCCTCATCCATGTCTTAACAAGCCACAGAAAGGAAAATAGAATCAGGGTGTCAGGGTAAAAACGTCTACATGTCTGAGGTTCATCTTAACCATTGTTCAACCGAGGTTCAAGATCACAGAGTCCAGCATGAGCTCAGATACAGAGAGGGGCGTGGTCAGAAACAGCTCATTTACATATTTAAAGGTACAGCCACAGAAACAGCCTGTTCTGAGCAGGGCTGACATGGAGGGGTTTATAGGCATGATCAAATACAGGATCAGAGTGGATTTAGAACAAGAAACTTCACACACATGTTTTGGGGAGCTCTGAGACTTATTTAAACTGGTTGAAGAGGAGGATAAACTGTGACCGTCTCTCCTGTCTTCAGGCTCCACAGACTTTGGAAACGTGACGTTTGTTGTTCCTGGGATCCATCCGTACTTCTACATCGGCTCTAAGGCTCTGAACCACACAGAGGAGTACACCGTGGCCTCTGGTGAGACAAGCTCATGATCCTGGTTCTGTTTAATTCTCCTTCTTTATGAATAATGAAAACAGCTTGAGTCTTTGTAATACTGTAACCCTCGCCCTGCTGGCTGCTTCTCTCATGAAGGTGTGAAGGTGTGTATGGTAAGTTTAGCCGTTGTATTTGTCTAATTACTAGTAAAATAAAATCTCATTGAGCTTAATATAATCCACATTCACCTAAAAATGGTCTCTTCTTCTAAGAGGCTGAAACTTTGGAAATATGAAGAATAAAATCATCTTTAAAACATACAGAAAGTGAACCCTGCAGGAGCTCCCGTCTCACAGTCCTGTTGTAGTCTCCTCACTCAGCTTAGCCTTTCCTGTTTCTTCTGTGTTTGTTTCAGGCGATGACAGAGCTCAGTTCTTCACCCTGCGGACGGCGAAGGCTCTGGCCATGACGGCTCTGGATGTGCTGCTGCGACCCGAGCTGCTGCAGAGGGTGAAGCAGGAGTTCACTGAGGCCAAAGAGAAGGAGGAGAGGACACTGAGAGGAGGGCACACGGAGCAGACATGAGGAGGACGAGGAGCTGCTCAATCGATAGGATGCAGGGAAAATCAAAGTTCTGATTGGTATGATTGTGAAAGCGGGCATGATTATTCATTACTGCTTTATGAACTGTTCATTTGTAATATGTACATCATGACTAATTAAATAGACCAAATACTTAAAACACCACAACATGTGAACACTCACCCCAAAGTACTCGTTGTTTTCAGCAATGATTTCTTAAATATTTCTTCCATCTTCACGTCTCAGGGATCTCAGATTGAGTCTGTTACGAGCTTCACATGTCTTTGTGTTTTTTTAATGGATAAGTCTCTCATACTCCTCATATTCAGCAGTCGGTAAAAAAGTTCAAACTGAAACTGGTTTTTATTTCAGAATCAAATCCTGCCTCTCTGTTGAATCTAAATACAGACTGGTTGCTGGCTCTTTTATGTCTATTCTGGACTACACGGATTGTCACAGATTCATTTTTGGGCTTTTTGGACATTTATTGTAGAGACGGGAAAGTGGATAGTGTCGGAAATCACGATGGCCTTTTCTCCTGGTTAAATAAATATAAATGAATACATACTGTATGGAGGAAATGAAGTGTAGCTGGAAATCAGTTTACTTCAAACTGAAAATGCAGGGGAGATGACACCTAAAAACCCATTAGGTCCATTTCATTTGCCCTTGTAACCCAGTAATTATAATATTTTAGAGTGACAGTAACAGGCCTCTTCATGCAGTTTTAAAAACATCCTCTGGGGGGCAGTATTGCATTAAAAACATTAAAACTGTATTCCTGTGATTGAAAAAGTTCAAGAGAAGACAACAGCTTTAAAATGCATAAGAGGTGGCCTGTCATTAAACATTAAGACCACCTTGTTGATAACAAGCAGAGAACCCAATGGGAGAAAATAAAACTATCAATCCTCTGCAGGCCAGCTCAAAGAATAGATCTTTACCTTAACTTTCGTGTTTATTCAGCATATTATTATTAGAAAAAGAGAGAGAGAAAGAGAGACTGTCTTTCATCTTCTGATCACACAGATTTCACTCCAACATGTCAGATGATCCCAAGCTCCGCAACAGAATCTGATTTCCAAAAGTACGTCATGTTTTTTGCCTTCAACAAAAAAATAAATCTTGACACTGATTCTGAGTCATCACGTTTTAATATGTGGAGGTGAAGATGAGAAGAGTTACAACAGATGGAGAAGTGGAAAAGTAGAAACAGGTCCATGAATGAGATTAAAGTGAATATTCATGCATGTAATTAAACATTTTAGTTCAATCAGAAGATTTCATTTCACCATGAAACCTCGAAGATGTGACTCAAATGCATAAAACGTTACTGACAGCACCTGTTTGACTGCATGATGATCTTTTAATGAGTGTTTACAAAGATGTCTGTACTTTTGATTTGGCGATTGCCAATATAAATTAATATCCATTATTTGCTCATAATGCACGTGTAACCTCCAGCAGAGCATGAGCCATCCTTACTAAAAGGCAGAGAGGAAGTGAATGGGGGGCTTCCGCAGAGAGATGATAAATGAAAACAGATAATCCAGCTCACAGGAGCAGAGACGACCACGCAGCATGCAGGATGCTGGACAAACTGTCATCCTCAATCTTCCTGGGTCTGGAAAATCTCCAACCAGCACCAATGGCCAGATTAACCGGGGCCATGTAATGAGGATACATGATCATATCTGCTATTTGCAATCACATATTTTCCCTCATAAACACAATATACTTTCACCAAGAAGCGAAGAACCGTAGTCCACATAAAGACTTTTAAAACTTTATACAGAGTCCAAAAAAGATCACAAACTTTAATATCTGAGATGTGGATAAAACTCAAAGTCTGTAGGCTGCTCTATCATCACCCTCAGAAATAAAATCCAGATATTTCAGTCTTTTGAATATTGCTGAATGCAGATTGGTGGATGTTGACATCATCAGTTGAGTTTTCTTTGTTCCCGTTCGTCATGCAGGCACCGCTGTGCCCCCCGGGGGTCTGAAGAGGAGGCAGATGGCCAGCTGTTAAATCTCTGCCAGGCTCTGTAACGTGGATTACTGATTCAACTCTCTTGGCTCCGAGCCTCCTATCGCTCACCAAAATTACAAGTTCCTGCACGGGGGTATTAGCGCTCATAATTGGCAGAACTTTATCCCCTTAAATTCAAGTCTTGTACTGTGGCAGCTGGAGCCACTTTGTCCTGGCCCTGACCACCCACTAACATCATAACCTGCCCCACTGACTAAGTAGGACGTTTACTTTATGTGTCTTTCCGCTAAGATACTCTGCAGTGTTTCCTGTGCTAATTTGGTTTTGGGGACCAACACCCCGAGGAGACCACCACCCTTACAAAAGAAAGGCAGACAACATTTTATTTATGGAGTTGTTTTATTCCATCAGAGCATGAACGTCTTTTCCCCCTCCTGTTCATCCAATTGAGAAATACATTTCCTCAATGCCGGTGTTATGCTGATAAATGCTTCCCTGCTTAGAATTGCATGCGACTCCCAAGACAATTTAAAATATCCCAGACAGAATTTCTACACTGCCGAATTTTGCATCCACCCTTTGATTTCCTCTACAGACACTTGAGAGTCTAACACTGTTTCCAGGTCATTTTTACGCCGGCTGAGGAAAATGCGTCTTCTACCGAGTCGACAGACTAATAAGGACACTTTACAAAGGGTGACTATATGTCTCGATTTGACCGGGACCGTCCTGATTTCAAGCTCCACGTCTCGAGTCCCCACAAATGTCTATAAAACACTAATATGTCCCGGGATTAAACATTCCCTGTCCCAGTTTGAACCAACCACAACAATGCACCATGCTTGCAAAACTGTTCTGTCTCTATATATGTCAATCAATGTCGTTGCCAAGGCTGTTGCTGTTCTAACCAGTAGAAAAACATCACTAATGCACTGTGAGTCAAAGCTCAATACTGATGTGTCTGTTGAGTGTCAATTATCCTCGGGGTTGAGGCTGCTGCTCATTAAACACATCTAATCATATTCACAGGTCCGTAGGCTCGCTGTGAAACTAAAAAGGAAGTCAGCGTTTTCCAAAGAGGCAGTGAATATGCTTTTCGCAATGTCAACATTGGAAATGTGGACATACAAAGCCATATTAAAACAAGCGAATACAAACAGTGGGTACAGGCTTGAAGTAGCACTGTTGCGTCCTACTTCAGTGCGGCAAACGCTGGTTACAACCAGCTTGAACAAACTGCTCAGGAGGAAACCTTTACCTACCACCTTGAGTGACCATTGCAGGTCACCAATCTATGGGTTGATACAACACATATACCATATTGTCCCCCAGCAGGAAATCTATTGTCACAGCTTGTACAGTTGGTACATGGATACACATGTATTTATATGGGTAAGCATGTTAGTCAAGGATAGCAGCCAATACAACAGTCAATGTGGGAGTTTGATAAGTGCTTCAATAGCCAAGGGGACAAAACTCTTTTTGTAACATTCCCTATCCAGGTCAGAGTCCTATATCTCTGACCTGGTTGGACTGAGTGGATGAGAGGTGTCCTGGTGAGTGTGCCAGGACGTTGTGGGTTTGTGCGTTAAAATTAAAGTGTCCCAATTTGGAGGTTTGAAAATATGGTCAGCCTAACTTAACGTTTAAGTGTAAACTTCAGATACTTTGTCATCACGGATCTGCCCCCAGAAAAACAATATATACTGTTTTTAAATTTTCTGTGAGCTGCATGCAACCTGGGCATATCCCTGGTACGATTTCCAACTTGTGATTTGGTCAACAGCCTACATCCTGCAGGTAGATTTGCCCTGAGCCCGCCCCTTGTTGACGATGTTTTTAAGATACGGACTACGCACACTATTGTTAGACTACAAGCCAACAAAACTGTCACGTCACAGAGAGTGAATCAACTGTTTACAGCTCATCCTAATCCTTACAAACAGACAAAACTTCTAAAAGTTTCCTTGGACTCGTCAAGGAATCGGTCTGTCTCTGCATCTCTCGGTGCCAGAGAACACACAAACGCAAACGCACTATTCAATGCAAAGAAAACACTGACTCGCTTTTGTTAAAATAAATCACACACACACTGAAACACTTGCTAAAGCACTTTTCAGTTTTTGATTGTGCCGGGTGGGATCCCTTCATCCCCCCATTCGCAGTACAGTGATATCAAAGGAGAGGCGTCACTGGGGTATAAATATGGCGCCTTGAACAGGCAGCCTGAACAGGGCTTCACCCTCATTTATCATGAGGAACAAAATCGTGTTCAGACATTTTGAATTGTGTTAAAATTGTGTTCTAAACTATTCTGTCAGACATGAGTCATGCAGAAATAAACAGCTTTTCTCTGAAAGCAGCATCACCTCCGGCGTATTGTATCGTTAGGTATCTGATAAGTGTTATGGTATCATTTTTAGCTTTATAAAGTAACAAAGCAGAGGCAACATTAAAATCTTCTTATCCTAACTGTTTAAACGAGTGGTTCCCAACCTCGCTGGCTCGTGACCCCACTTTGACTTCACTAAACTCTGGTGACCCCAGACCTCCAAAAACACAAACAGTGTTTAGGTAAAAAAAAATGTGTTTTCAATCATGCAATAGCTGTTCTACTGTGTTGCAAGTAAACATTTGTTGAGACCACATTTAGGCTTTTAGGTGTGTAATATAGATGACAGAGGAAGGAAGGCTGGGAGGACATTTCTGCACAATGGATGACAGACAGAGCTAGTTTCTTGTTTTGACACTGGCCCACAGCAGCCCATGTTAAATGTATCCAATATACAATATATATATATATATATATATATATATATATATATATATATATTTTTTTTTTTTTTTTGGATAAACAAATCAAAATTTTAAACGACCCCATTGGTATTCCACGTAAACCCACGAGGAGTTGTGACCCCAAGGTTGGGAAAGCCTGGTTTGAACGCACAGTTTATGAATTCTGTCGCCAGGGGGCTCCTAATCAAAACAACAAAACAAAAAGAAATATGACATTGAGACTGGCGGGGAATGATTTGTCCATCTCATATAGTTTATGGATAGTGTTTTCATTTTGTGTTCTTTTATGATTACTTGAAATGATTCAAATGCATAGTTATGATGAAGTAATGCAATTCAAATCCAATAACAAATTAGAATAAACCCTGAAATCCCTCTGAATGTGCCAGAACGCAATAACTGTTATCTATCAACAGATATGAATGACACGTGTTGTTATCAATAATCAACACGTCCTAGGTCACATGATCTCTCTGGATGCTGAGGTGACCTTTGCTTTGTTAGAATGGCCTTCCTTATTTAGTGTTGCAGAAAGTTTTGTCTCAGGGAGGGTTTTATTGAATTTATCAAGCTGATAACCCGATCTAAACAAGACTTATGTGGAAAGACTCAGTTAATTATCAGTAACTAACTACATTAAGAAATACCAGCCTGAAGCAAGTTAGTTTCTTGATAGAATCTGAAATTAAATTGAATGAGTCCATCTTCAAGTTTATTGGCCAGAATATAGAGAACTTGTCTGAGCTCCACTTTCTTCATCTACAAGGATACAACTATTAACCTGGATTTAGCTGACATAAGCAAAAATAAACCATTCAAGAAATTGAAGAAAACATTTATTTGAGTGGACAAACACTGCATGGAGAATATGATTTTTTGTTTGTCAATGATTATGTTACAATTTAAAACTGTTCCTGAAAGCTTAAAGCACGTCTTAAAGCTGCTTGTAAAGATTTGATTATGCATGTCAACTGGTTTACATTTGTACTCCATTTCATGGAAAAGTTTAATTTTAGACTTTAAAATAACACTCAACAGCTGTAATCAACATAGTAGTGAATGACATGTGAAGTGAGGAACCCTCATAATTTAACCCTTAAATTCATAAATCATAGGTCTTTAGTCAGTTATCTGGGTAAATCTTAAAGTGAAAGTGTTTGCCAGATAGTTATGACAAATGAAATCTCACCAACATTGTAAACACCCTCTCTGATGCATATAAAAGAAAGTGATCTTTCGATCATTTCTGAGGACAGCTAAACCTAACAATGCGCACAGTGAACATTGTGGCCTCTGCAATTATGGCATAGATCGAAAATGGAATGATTTACCTTGTTCTCGTTTGGCTCCCTCTGTTTGTGCATCTCGCATAAACTGTCCATAGCAACTGAGATGTAAAAATGGTCTGATTCAACCTGGTTATTGCTCACCTGTTACTCTGTTTTTTAATATGTAAGATCAAACACACGTATACACTTTCATTTGTGTACACGATACTTTTTTTTTTGCATTTTGTACAATAAATGTACAAACACCTTTTAAATCATATTTGCTCTAAATATGAAGACTATGTATATTAATTTCATGATTTTTGTAAAACAAAACATGTATGTCTGCTACAGCTGATAATCATCCATTCTGTATAATGTGTTTCTGTTTGTGTTGAATTTTGAATCACAAATAAACGGTTTCTTGCTTATGGACTGTCATGCCATTTGCAAGGATTATAAAATACCTACAGACTAAAGTTGTTGTATAGTAATGTGTCCTGCTGTCATCAGCAACTATCACAGCTGTGTTAGTCAAGTGTTTTCAAAGTGCATATCTTCAAAGACATCACACCAAAGATTATTGCTGTATGTGTAATATTTGTGCACCATACAGTCTCTCCTACAAAGCAACTAATTGCTTTGTGTAAATTCATTTTTGATTTAGTGTCCCTGCCATGTGTTGTCTTTGTGTGTATTTGTGTCTCTGTGGAGGGATGTAATGGTCTGAGCATTTGGAACAGGCTGCATCAATAGCCTATGTTTTCCTGTTGCTGCTTATAGTCATTTAGCTGTCCTCCTAACAAGTCTTTTACCCAGCAGGAGGATGAAGAGGGAAGTGACACAAATAGAACCCACAGACTCAGTGTGAAGCAGGTGCCGTGTAATTGTCATTTGGAAAGGGTGCTGTTGGGAGATTGTGCTGAGATGGATACAATAGACATTAAAGCTATGGTTAGCACTGATTTAAGATGCAGTTTTTGTTATTTTCATTATTTTTATATACATTCCGTCATTTGAGAGTTTGATGGTATAAAATCAAGGAGCAGGCTTTTAATAATGCTGACAGAACCCAAGCATCACCAGTCATTTGTATGTTTTCATATTTGTGTCACTCTTACTTAACCAACATAAAATAATTTGCATAGAAACAGCTCTTGAACTCACTTGAAATGGGGTATGGTTGTCTAATTAAAAAATTAAAATTAAAATTAAAAAACAGTCAAGAATGTAGCAAGAATGGGGATGACACTTGTTGCGACAACTTCTCCTGGGGGGATTTAGCTCCAAGGAAATTCTACAGCTACTTTTTGAAACACTAAAGTCAAACAGGTTCAAAAACACAGGGCAAGAAACGTTTCAAATGTCAAAGTAAGTCACATTTTATAAACACAATGAATACCCAAAAAATCCACACTAAACCCAGCCCAGGTTGAAAACTACAGACCGATTTCTCTTCTGCCCTTTCTGTCAAAAATACTTGAGCGCACAGTCTTTCAGCAAGTCTTTGAGTTCCTGTCCAGAAACGATCTGTTTGACCCAAATCAGTCAGGCTTTAAGCGGGGCCACTCTACTGAAACTGCACTACTGTCAGTAACAGAATCGCTACGAGCTGCCAGAGCTGCGGGTCAGTCCTCAGTTCTATTACTGCTAGACCTGTCTGCTGCCTTTGACACAGTCAACCATCAAATCCTCCTGTCCACGCTCTCTGAACTTGGCATCTCAGGATCTGCCCTCTGCTGGTTCGTGTCCTACCTCTCTGGGCAATCCTTTAGAGTGTCGTGGAAGGGAGAAGTGTCCAAAGCGCACAGCTTATCCACAGGGGTACCTCAAGGGTCAGTGCTTGGTCCCCTTCTCTTCTCCATATACACAAGCTCACTCGGTTCAATAATCCGCTCTCATGGCATCTCATACCATTGCTATGCTGACGATACCCAGCTCTTCCTGTCATTCCCGCCAGACGATGTTACAGTCTCTGCAAGAATCTCATCATGCCTTGCTGATATCTCTAAATGGATGAATGAACGGCACCTTCAATTCAATCTTTCAAAGACTGAGCTCATTGTCATCCCAACTAGTCCCTCTATGCAACCACAGATCAATATCCAGCTTGGAACAACCAAACTCATGCCCACAAAGTCTGCTGAGAACCTGGGTGTCATGATTGATGACCAGCTAACTTTTAAGGTTCAAGTAGCCTCGATTGCCCGGTCAATGCCTGTCAGCACCTGCGCGTCCAATCGGACTCAAAGCTGATCGTTTGCTCTTACTGACATTGTTCCCTTTTTCTAGATCCTTGCTTGTGTTGTACTTACTCTCTGGTGTACATCGCTTTGGACAAAAGCGTCTGCTAAGTGAATTGTAGAAGTGAGAATATTGTTTCAGTTTGTTTAGTTTCTTGTTTATAATTCAATTAACATATTTCTGCAGCCCGCTGTGATCAAAATAGAAAAATTAGTTTTCACCACCAGGCATTATTTGATAGGTTTAACTGAAATGTGTGTAAAACTACATCCTGATGTGTCGGTTATTTTTCCAGATCTGATCAGAAAATGCTCATAGATCCAATAATTCTGTTTCAGTTAGGCTCCAGCCAGTGGTGGTTAATGTTTTACAAGTAACACATATGAGTCCCTGAAATATACAATACTCTCATCATGTTTTAATCAAGTTCAATTTTAGGTCAGAAATCTATTTTTTACTTCACTAAGTTTTTCCACTCTGGGACATATATACTGTATCAACAAGTAAAGATATAATTTGTGTATTTCAATATAAACTGTGAGTGTGTTTTATAGTAAATAATAGTTGTTTATTTGTTATGTAACTAACAACTTGTTGTTTCAGAATGTCAGTATTAGCTGGTTCAGGGAGCAGCCATGTTGGAATCAGGGAATGTAAGAGAATGGAATTCTGCATCTGGACTGTGACATCATAAGAGTGACATCATAATGGAGACGTTCTACAGAGTTTTCTTAGTTCCTGAGATTTCATATTAAATTCATTGCACCTCAAGACTTCAGCCAGAGAGCCACAGTCAGACTGAGAGCGACAAACCCAGAGAAAAATCTGAATAATAGCAAACTGTTGAAGAATTGAAGTTGAGATATTGAACTGAGCCATCAGTAAACGTGTCAAGTAAGTACAGAAACACAGGTCACCTGAGAGAGAGGCGGACCGAGGAGCAGAGATACTTGATCTGAGTGTATTAAGTTTGAAATGTACATTACTTGAGAGAAATATTTACCAGCAATAATTTAAATTAAAACTTCTTAGATTACAAATATAGAGCTTTTTTTGTACTGTTGAGTTTGCTCTAAATACTTTTGTTTTAGACTCAGAGAAATAACTTTCTCTGGATGACTGTTGTTGGCATTTTCACTTTTGTGTGTGTGTTTAAAAGATCAAATGATTCATACATTGTAATGTAAAGACATCAGTTTGGTTTCAGAGAAATATAATAAGCGTTTGCTTTTATTATTTCAGCACATTATTGATAAAAAAATGTACATTTGTGGCAAGACTTTGAAGATGCTTTAAGTCTGAATATTTCTTGGTTTCCTTTAACAAGGTAGTTAGTTCCACCCGTGTAATTGTTATATGTTAATGTATATTACTGTTTTATTCTAATCTTGTTTTTGCATAAATAAAGAATACAACTTGAAAACAAGGGTCAGTTACTTAGGCTATATTTTCTTTTTAAAATAAATCAAAAGTCAAAATGTGATGC